TTTTGTTCCACAGTTTGCTCAAGGGGGTACCGCCTCGTCATGGATCCATTCTTAAACTCTTATTGCTGGTCTAATCTGTCCTCCTGCGACCCGTCCTCCTGCGACCCGTCCTCCTGCGACCCGTCCTCCTGCGACCCGTCCTCCTGCGACCCGTCCTCCTGCGACCCGTCCTCCTGCGACCCGTCCTCCTGCGACCCGTCCTCCTGCGACCCGTCCTCCTGCGACCCGTCCTCCTGCGACCCGTCCTCCTGCAACCCGTCCTCCTGCAACCCGTCCTCCTGCAACCCGTCCTCCTGCCACCCGTCCTCCCGCAACCTGTCCTCCTAAAGTGAACATGAACAAGGCGAGTACAGCCACCACGTCCGCCCCCAGCCGGGCCTCTTCTCAACCTGTCCTTCCCTCGGCAGGGCAGTCTCGACCCGCATGGTGGCGGGTATGTGGTGGTTCTTCACCCTCATCATGATCTCTTCCTACACCGCCAACCTCGCCGCCTTCCTCACCGTCGAGCGCATGGAATCCCCAATCGAGTCCGCCGAAGACCTGGCCAAGCAGACGAAGATCAAGTACGGGTCTCTGTCGTCGGGCACCACAACCTCCTTCTTCAGGTAGGTCGGGTTCAAGGAAGGCTTCACTGAAGGCAAGTGTTCATGAGGTAGATACTGAATGTTGAGTCTTCGAAAGTAGGTTTTTTCTAAAGCTAATCCTCTGAAATTTGAGTATTGTTAAACGTCCTGAAATCATTTTCTTAGAGTAGCTAAGTAATTGTCGAAAGGTGGTGGTAAGCTTGGAGGACTGTTGAACACTTAAGTCACTGAACATTATATCACGATGATATCATTCATATCAATCCCATGATATCATTCAGGATGACAATATGAGAACTGAAAATCAGTAGGAGTGATGGTGGATGAATAGGATTCACAGATGTTATTGACTGATACTCTTGTAGCAGGTTCCACTCAGCTCATGATAGACTCTTGTAGCAGGATCCACTAAGCTCATGATAGACCCTTGTAGCAGGTTCCACTCAGCTCATGATAGACTCTTGTAGCAGGATCCACTAAGCTCATGATAGACCCTTGTAGCAGGATCCACTCAGCTCATGATAGACCCTTGTAGCAGGATCCACTAAGCTCATGATAGACCCTTGTAGCAGGATCCACTCAGCTCATGATAAACTTGCAGCGGGATACATTTAGTGACCAGAACTGCCAATCTCTCGGCCAGTCAGATGCATCACTGCCAGTAGTGACCACTGGTGGTGGTGGTCAACAGTGCCAGTAGTGACCACTGGTGGTGGTGGTCAACAGTGCCAGTAGTGACCACTGGTGGTAGTGGTCAACAGTGCCAGTAGTGACCACTGGTGGTGGTGGTCAACAGTGCCAGTAGTGACCACTGGTGGTGGTGGTCAACAGTGCCAGTAGTGACCAATGGTGGTGGTGGTCAACAGTGCCAGTAGTGACCACTGGTGGTGGTGGTCAACAAGTGCCAGTAGTGACCACTGGTGGTGGTGGTCAACAGTGCCAGTAGGGACCACTGGTGGTGGTGGTACAACAGTGCCAAGTAGTGACCACTGGTGGTGGTGGTCAACAGTGCCAGTAGTGGACCACTGGTGGTGTGGTGGTCAACAGTGCCAGTATTGACCAATGGTGGTAGTGGTCAACAGTGCCAGTAGTGACCACTGGTGGTGGTGGTCAACAGTGCCAGTAGTGACCACTGGTGGTGGTGGTCAACAGTGCCAGTAGTGACCACTGGTGGTGGTGGTCAACAGTGCCAGTAGTGACCACTGGTGGTGGTGGTCAACAGTGCCAGTAGTGACCACTGGTGGTGGTGGTCAACAGTGCCAGTAGTGACCACTGGTGGTGGTGGTCAACAGTGCCAGTAGTGACCACTGGTGGTGGTCAACAGTGCCAGTAGTGACCACTGGTGGTGGTGGTCAACAGTGCCAGTAGTGACCACTGGTGGTGGTGGTCAACAGTGCCAGTAGTGACCACTGGTGGTGGTGGTCAACAGTGCCAGTAGTGACCACTGGTGGTGGTGGTCAACAGTGCCAGTAGTGACCACTGGTGGTGGTGGTCAACAGTGCCAGTAGTGACCACTGGTGGTGGTGGTCAACAGTGGCCAGTAGTGACCACTGGTGGTGGTCAACAGTGCCAGTAGTGACCACTGGTGGTGGTGGTCAACAGTGCCAGTAGTGACCACTGGTGGTGGTGGTCAACAGTGCCAGTAGTGACCACTGTGGTGGTGGTCAACAGTGCCAGTAGTGACAACTGGGGTGGTGGTGGTCAACAGTGCCAGTAGTGACCACTGGTGGTGGTGGTCAACAGTGCCAGTGGTGACCACTGGTGGTGGTGGTCAACAGTGCCAGTAGTGACCAGTGCCGTGTGTGTGGCTCTCCCTCAGAGACTCGACGCTGCCAACCTACGCGCGCATGTGGGCCTTCATGGAGTCGACGAGCCCGTCCGTCTTCGTCCAGTCCAACGCTATGGGTGTCAAGAGGGTTCAGGTGAGTCCCTTCACCCCCTCGTGTCACCATTATCATCATCACTACCTCCGTCACCATCATCGCCACCTCTCACTATCAATATCACCACTGTTTGTTACCATTTATAATGTAGTCGGTCTTACCTTTACCAATTTATAACAATAATAATGATCTTAACATAAAATATACAAGATGAAGACGAGTCACGATCCACCCTGGCAGGCGGCCACCCATCATCCTCTTCCTTCCCGCCAAACACACACCGAAACTACGACGTTGGTACAACGTTCCAACAAGTTTTAACACCTAACCAGTTATAACAACCAATATAACAAGTTGTAACAACGTCCTAATACGTCATAAACACGTTAAGCCAAGATGTAACAACTTTATTACAAGTTGTAACAAGCGGAAAATAGAGACAGTTTCGGGTTTGTGTTTCCAGGGTTGTGAGCCTGAGTGTAGCCAGCCCTACGTACAGCTATCACAGTGTTATGTACTAAACGGATTATTATATTAGACCGCTAATTAATGTAACTGCTGCCACCTTCCTTACAGTTACACTGTATAATTTACCGACATGTTCGTCCCTGACTTGTAAGGTAGAAGTCAAGGACATGGAAAGCTTCCTCTTGATAATTACAGATCTTATTAATTAGAGAATCACTTGAAATACCCAAGACAAGTCATCAGCTCAAGGTGGTATGTTCAAAGATTAATGATAGAAAAAATTAAAATGCCAATTAAACTCTACAACGAATTTATCATCAATGATATCCTACTCTAATATCCTACATTAGAGGCAAATGGTGTTTTCAAATACTAAGAAGTAAAAACTCAAGTACCAGTTACCTTTTGTTCTACAACCTATCCGCTCAGTAAGGTCATCCGATCTCTCCCCCCCCCCACCCCTTTTTCCCTGGGCTTTTCAACACCTTTTTCTACACTCAAGGTCCATCTCTATCTTGAGGTTATCTTGAGATGATTTCGGGGCTTTAGTGTCCCCGCGGCCCGGTCCTCGACCAGGCCTCCACCCCCAGGAAGCAGCCCGTGACAGCTGACTAACACCCAGGTACCTATTTTACTGCTAGGTAACAGAGGCATAGGGTGAAAGAAACTCTGCCCATTGTTTCTCGCCGGCGCCTGGGATCGAACCCAGGACAACAAGATCATAAGTCCAGCGTGCTGTTCGCTCGGCCGACCGGCTCCCCGGTCGCACTAAAAATTACTTAAGAATTATTCCCAGACCTTCTATGAAATTCTACCTCTTGGCACTTCTTCGGCCACTCAAGAGGCACTCAAGGCCACACCTTCGGCCACTCAAGGGCCAATCACAGGCACCAAGGGGCCCTAAGCCTACCAGGGGGCATGGCATTCCCACGGAGCCTGATGCGCTACACACTAAAATCTTTGAATAATACTCTATCAACTGTCAGCCTGTCGTAAACACTGTGGAGAGCGGAGGGAAGAGGCAGGAGAAAGGTTGGCCTCCAGCGGAGGGAGAGGGAGAGGCTGGAGGGCCAAACTGGCCTCCAAAGAGGTAACTGAGGTCGGCCTCGGCAGAAGAAAGGAGGACAGTGGAGGCCAACGTATTTCAAATTACCGCACACATTGGCTCACCTTCAATAAGAAAATATGGCTCACATCCTGTGCTAAAATTAAATGTACATCCTGTGCTAAAATTGATACATCTGGGAAACAGGAAAGAATCGGGAAGGGGAGGGAGAGAGAGAGATAGGGAAGAGAGGGAGAGATAGGGAAGAGAAAGAAGGGAGGAGAGGGAGAGATAGGGAAGAGAAAGAAGGGAGGAGAGGGAGAGATAGGGAAGAGAAAGAAGGGAGGAGAGGGAGAGATAGGGAAGAGAAAGAAGGGAGGAGAGGGAGAGATAGGGAAGAGAAAGAAGGGAGGAGAGGGAGAGATAGGGAAGAGAAAGAAGGGAGGAGAGGGAGAGATAGGGAAGAGAAAGAAGGGAGGAGAGGGAGAGATAGGGAAGAGAAAGAAGGGAGGAGAGAGAGGAAATAGAGAATAATATAGAAGAAAATTACAGAAATTTCCCTACCTGTTACACCGTCACCATCAACATCCCCACCTCCGTCACCATCAACATCCCCACCTCCGTCACCATCAACATCCCCACCTCCGTCACCATCAACATCCCCACCTCCGTCACCATCAACATCCCACCTCCGTCACCATCAACTTCCCCACCTCCGTCACCATCAACTTCCCCACCTCCGTCACCATCAACATCCCCACCTCCGTCACCATCAACATCCCCACCTCCGTCACCATCAACATCCCCACCTCCGTCACCATCAACTTCCCCACCTCCGTCACCATCAACTTCCCCACCTCCGTCACCATCAACATCCCCACCTCCGTCACCATCAACATCCCCACCTCCGTCACCATCAACATCCCCACCTCCGTCACCATCAACATCCCCACCTCCGTCACCATCAACATCCCCACCTCCGTCACCATCAACATCCCCACCTCCGTCACCATCAACTTCCCACCTCCGTCACCATCAACTTCCCCACCTCCGTCACCATCAACATCCCCACCTCCGTCACCATCAACATCCCCACCTTCGTCACCATCAACATCCCCACCTCCGTCACCATCAACATCCCCACCTCCGTCACCAAAAATATTACCAATCTGAGTTGCACCATGAACTCGGTTAACATCACCATGTTATTAATCACTCGATTAGTACTATCTTTAACACCATTGTCATCACCATCATGTTATAGTTGCCACATACCACCCGCACCATCGGTATGTACATTAGCCTCTTCATCGTTATCATCACTACTGTGAACATCATCACTTATAGCTATCCTCAGTATCACGATGGCAACCTCCCATCATCACTGCGCCGTTATTGCCATAACTACTGTAGTAGCAGGGTAGTGATTTACCCGAGAGCCACTAACACTAGTGGCCTCGATGAGGACAAAGCCGGCGGCTTGTTGAAGGTTTCCAGCTGTACTTTAAAAAAGTTTTAGCATTTACGGATTCGGCGGGTATGCGGTTCCACGGGTTTATAACCCTATGGGTGAAAAAGCATCTCCTGTTCTCAGTCCAACATTGTGCCTTGTTTTTGAGCTTGAAGCCGTTGCTGCTTGTTTGTGTTGCATCTGACCTTTTAAGAAATTTTCCGGATCAACATCCTCCAAATTGTTCAGTATTTTAAAAGTTTTAATGAAATCTGCCCTGTCGTGCCTGGTTTGCAATGTATTTAGCCCTGTGGCCCCTCAACCGTTTCTGATATGAGAGTTGACAGCTCTGGAGTGACTTTTGTTGCCCGGGTGGGTAAGAAGGCTGCCCTTCCTAGTCCTCACCTGCCGACTCCCACACTATCCCTGCTTTCCCTCCTATTTCAGTGACGGAGTCGCCTGTCCCTGCTATAGAGGTTCCCTTGGTCGGCTTCTTGTTTGTCCTTCCTACCCCCTGATGCCTCCTCCTAATTTCTGTCCTCCTTACCGCCGATGCCTCCTCCTGCCCCAGACTGTCAGTCCGCCTCTGGTTCATCGTCCCGCTCCCTTGACTCCATTATCTTTGTTAGCTTAGCTTATATCCCGTCACCCTGATTTCACTGATCCTGATCTTACTTAGTCTTTACCTTTGTCTCTCCCTTATCTATGTTTCTGTTCTCTTGTCTGTCTGTTCTTCAATGGAATATTCGTGGTTTTTATGGCAACTTCCGTGAATTGTAACTTCTGATCATGCAGTTTTCACCACTTTGTGTTGGTCTCCAGGAGCCGATGGTTGGCGCTCGCCCTGGTCACTTTCCTGGTTATTCCATTCTCCCCCCCCCCCCCCTCCAGCTTTTGCTGGGACCCATAACTCTACTGCTCTCTTGATACGTCATGATATTCCTTTTGTCCCCTTTCTTTTTCAGTCACACATTCACGTGTAACTGAAATGTCACACACATTTTAGTCACCGATTCTGCGACCCATATCTTTATGAGTAAATGGTATAAAGTCTGTTCCATTTATCTTTCTCCAAGTGTCCTGCTTTCTAATCCTGATCATAAATATATGTTGAACTCCTTACCAGAGCCTGTGCTCCTTTTGGGTGATTTAAAGTGTCAGCATATCCTCCAGGGAGATGTTCTGACCCAGGGCCGCCTCTTCTTTTGCCTCCTCTCAATTCTGGTGAACCCACTCATGTTGACTCATGCACTCGCACTGTTTCCTGTCATGATCTGTTTCTCTGCTCAGTCTCTTTATTTAGACTTCACCTAATGGGTTCTTTTTGACCTCCATAATAGTGACCATTTCCCCATCCTTGTCACCACCACCTCTTTTCACCCTCCCCTCTCCTTCCCTAGGTGGCAGTTTGCCAAGGCTGACTGGAACCTCTTCACCTTTTGTGTTACTCTTCCCAAACCTCTCTGATCTGCCTCTCCCTCCAGCCCTCCTCCTTTTTCATGACCCTGTTTTTTATGCTGCCCTCTGCTCTGTTCCTCGCTCTACTTCCCGGGGCGCGGAAGTGTGTTCCCTGGTGGAATGCAGACTGCATGCTGTAAGCATGCAGCCTGGAACAAACACCGACGCCGACGTAAACCCGATTCTTTTATTTTGTTTTGGATGGCGAGTACAGTGGCGTAGGGGCCATTTCTATGACTAAGCATGAGAGATGGAGATCTTTCGCTTCCACCATTACAACTCTGCCCCTGATCTGGAAGAAAATCTGCATAATAGCCGGTAAGTTTGTTCCAAATGCCTCGCCAGTCCTTCACCTCAGTGGTTCTATTGTGACGGATCCAGTGTCGGTCAAGACCAAACTGGGTTCGCACTTTTAGACTGTTAGCTCCGGTTCTCATCTTCCTCCTCGGTTCTCATCTTCCTCCTCTTTTCCTTACTCGTAAGCCCCTTCTTGAATCTTGTCCCTTAGATTTTTGCACTTGTCTTCCATTTCCCTGTAACGATCCTCTCTCTCAGAACTCCAGTCTGCCCTGGCCCTCTGCGGCTCACGGAGGTGGGCTCAGATGATATTCATTATGAGATGCTTTGCCATCTTTCTCCATACATGTTTCAGTATTTACTGAATATTTATAACAGTGTCTGGGAGTTGTCAGTCCCTGAGGACTGACTTGAGGCAGTTGTTCTTCCTATTCGGAAACCTAGTTCTCTATGGTCATCCCCTAAAGGCTTCCGCCCCATTGCTCTAACGAGTTGCATCTGCAAACTCTCTGAATGTATGGTCAATGTCTGTTTAATGGGGTTCTTGGAACGCTATCACCACCTCTCCGCTTCTCAATTTGGCTTTTACAAGCGTCACAGCATGACTGATGTCCTCGTAAACTTGGAGGTCTCTCTTCCTACTGTCTTTGTTTTGAAGACCTCTGTTGATGCTGTCCTTTTTAACCTGGTAAAGGCATGTGACATCACCTGGAGATACCATACTCTGTCCCAACTCCGTTCTTTTGGCCTTCGTGACAATCTCCCTCTCTTCCTCTCCCATCGTTCCTTTAGAGTGTGGCTTGGTGCCACTCTCTCTCTGCATCTTTTCGGCAATACGAAGATGTATCCCAAGGTTGTGGTCTGAGCACTACTCTTTTTCCTGGTTGCCCTCAATGGTCTTCTTTCATCCCTTCCCTCTGGCATTTTCTCAGCGCTTTATGTTATTGACAATCTTACTCTCTGCTGTCAAGATGGTGACTCGCCTTTCCTCCAACAGCGGTTTTAACTTGTGATTGATGCCGTGTCATCTTGAGTCACCAATCATGGCTTCAAGTTCCAAGGAGAATTTTTTTTAAAAATTCAAAATTCAAATGTTTATTCAGGTAAAAGTACTTACATAGAAGATGAATTACAAACATAATGTTGGATTTATAGATAAAGCTAGTACGTTCAATACCTAAAGCCACTAATGTGCATAACGTTTCGGTGCATTTCTTCCCAAGTTCCTCTTCCTAAGTTTTGTAAAACCTTGACCCGCATGACAAAAGTCTTTACCCCCTCCTACAGTCCTGAAACACCTTTTCCTTGCTCAATTTTCTTTGCTCACTCGCTCCATTTCTGCCTTCACAGATGGGTCAAAGTCTGCCAACAGTGTAGGCTACACCATTGTATTTCCTGACTAAACCAATATGTGCTGCCTGCCCCCCCTCCCTGGGGGGGGGAAGCCAGGCACCACATACAGGTGTAGTCAGTCAGCCTGCCTGCCCCCCAGGCAGGCATTCTCACTGTCAATCTTCCTTTGTTGTTGTAATTAACTCTCGTAGTGCCCTCAGGGCTCTGGAGTCCTTTAATCCTGTGCTAGTCAAAATTCAACAGTGGATACCTTGGATACCTTGGCTATCCACACTTGTCCTATTTCTCACAAAGGTATTCCTTATTTCGACTTCTACCAAATTATTCATTCCTTAATCTGTGCCCGTTGGCAGGATCGCTGGTCTGTGTTACTTGTAACAAGCTGCATGCTTTTAAAGAGTAGTGTGTCCCCGTAACCTTCCTCCTACCACCGTAACCGTCGGTGAAAAACGACTTTGGCGAGGTTACGTATTGTCCATACCCGTTTAACTCACGGGCACATAATGGAGCGCCACTCTGGTCCTTATTGTCCAAACTGTATTGTCACTCTTACGCTCGTGCATATTCTTGTTGAATGTCCGGACTTCCTGGATGTGCATGTCTTTGGTCCCTCGTGGTCACTTGTCCCTCGATAGTATCCTTGGGGAATCAGATACCTTTGATATTGTTCGCCTTGTGCGCTTTTGTTCTTGTATTGGCATCCTTAGTGATATTTAAGACCTTTTGAATATCCCACACATATGATAGTGATACATGGCCCCCCCCCCCCCCATAGCCTTCTTTTGATAATTGCTTACTCTTGTTGCCTGTGTTGCACTTTCTTCAGAGCAGCTATGTCCTTCTGAAGATGAGGTCTCCATGCTTGGATACAATAATCCAATTGGTAGTGAATGAGAGATTTATACAATTGAATCATTACCTTCTTTTCCATAAGTCAAAGGTACACTTGATTATTCCAAGGCTTTGGTAAGCTTTTTTGACTGCTGCCCCTACCTGTTGTTCAACCTTGAGTGGTGGATTTTGGCTCCAAGGTCCTTTTCATTGTCAATCTGTTGTAATGTAATGTTATTAATTTGGTAGTTGTGGAGTGGGTTGTTATATCCCACATGCAGGGTCTTGCATTTGTCAATATTAAAAAGCATTTGCCAGCCTTCTCATCATTTGTGGAGTTCATGTAGATCTCTCTGTAAGACTTCAGTATCATTGAAGTCTCGAGCCACGTTATTGTGACTCATCGTCTGCATCAATATCATTTCCCACTTTACCATAAATCATTTTCATCTGTAAATTTGATTATGGTTTGTAATTATTCTCATCTATGTCATTGATGTATATGACAAAGAGAGTTGGCCCCAAAAAGGACACCTGTGGTACCCCACTTACCAGTGTATTATTATTACAGTTATGTAATAAATCTTCTGTAATATAACTGATTATGCATATGTATAATGTATGTTCCTTGTGCAGGAGGAGAACGGTCTGTACGCCTACCTGATGGAGTCCACTTCCATTGAGTACGTCACGGAGAGGAACTGTGATTTGACGCAGGTGGGCGGCCTCCTGGACTCCAAGAGCTACGGCATCGCCCTTCCCCCGCGTGAGTGGCAAACCTCCTTCACCCCCACCCCCCTTTTCACTGGTCAATCTTAATCGCGCAGAAGTCATGACACCTTGTCACATTCTGTTGACCCCCTTCTTGCAGGACTGACGTTCTATCTCCGATTGTCCACGTATCTGGGTGGCTTCCTTAACTCTGCCCCCTATTCCAGCAATTATTTTGTTCTCCATGTGCTATATAATCATACAGGTGCTGTGCTTTCTCCAAGTAATTATTGTCTTGTCTCTCCCTGTCGTCTTGTCTTAGCTACAGTCACAGAGCCTCTTGGGTTTCAACATCAAGTTGAAACAACAGTATTATTTTCTGTGAGCTAAAATTGTATATTTCATATTTAGTATTGAGATACTGTTCACAACATTTTAACACCATTTAGAGGTACTGTTTACAACATTCTAAGACCAAAGCAAATATTAATCATCAAATACCAAAACTTAGAGAGAGAGAGAGAGAGAGAGGGGGAGAGTCGTGGAGAGTCAACGTGTCTTCACTTGTCAATAAAGCATACATACATGTCAGAGCTTATTTTAGTCTGTGATGTCACGTGACTCTTGAAGCAGCATCCATGATGATCTCTTCATCTCGTGTAGTTTTGTGTAGATTTTGTCGATGATTCATCTAACCCTATTGACAAGTTTGCTTAGTAATCTGTTATGTTTTGCTAATTAATATCTTCCTGCTACTAAAGTTGAGCCGTTTATATTCCACCCATCTTCAAAGACGATAGTACATATAGCACCTGGCATATGTACAAAATATGTACTGTTGCACATGTATAACAGTCAACATTTTGTATTATTGAAACGTAAATATCGAAGGTAAATGTAAACATAAAGAAAATAACACAACTACATAACATCTTGCCATTGGCTTAATTTAACCCATCTCATCTCACCTATCATATGCCAAATATAAACCATTATAAACACTTAACTAGACCTAGTATACATTAGAAACCATTTTCGTTTTGTTTTTGTTCTTTTGGCTACTTCGATAACAAACTTCAAAAGTACAAAATGTATACTGTAATCTCTGTACACCAGTCCATATGGTGTAGAGATGCGTGAGAATGGTGGTATGTACTGTGCTTGTGGAGGGAAGGGCGGTGTAGAGACCTACACCTAAGAGAGTGACTAACTTGCAGGCTCGCCCTACACCGGCGCCATCAGCAGCGCTATACTGGCTCTCCAGGAGACCTCCACCATACAGCTGCTCAAACGCAAGTGGTGGAGCCAGAGGGGTGGGGCAGGCAGGTGTAATAACGATAAGGTAATCCTGCTTCACCTGGTGTCTCTTTACATCTGTCTCAACTGGCGTGTCTCTACACCTGTCACACATGGTCACTCTCCACACCTGTTGCATTTATGAATTAGTCATCAAAATTTCCACACAAATATAACATTGACCCATGTACAGATCTGACGGCCGTGGCACCCAGTTAAGAAAACGGCCACCAAATGTCTCCGTTAGTTGTACTGTAGTAACATTAGTAGATGATGACTAGTTGCCATAATAAGTGAACTGAGTGGTTGCATGGTCGCCATCAATGGGTCTCACCATGTCAACATGCTAAAGCTTCGACCTTGTAGATCCCGAGCGTCCCGACACCACAACCTCCCACCTTCTAACCTAGCATCGTCTGCCAAGACAAGGTAGATCCTTTGATGTGTGTCCTTCACAGTCTCAAGGAACTGATGTGGGGAGTGGATACACTTCTCTGGCAGAAAACCTGGTTCATTGAGCTGGGTAACTTCCACGAACATTGCAGTCATAGATATTGTACTATGATTGAGGGCACTGAAGCTGCCATGCTCGCTCACACCAGATAGTATCACCACATACCGGCTCAAATTCAACAGAACAATGCTGAATGGGGCAGAAGAACGAACGCTGACAAGGTAGAGCCAATATGGAGCCCAACCAGCAACATATAAGCCCATCAAGTCGTGATGATCAGCTACAGAGATGGTTCAAGATGTATCGTTCTGATTCAGCTTGTCTTGAAGGGCCCTGGGATGCTGCAACTTCCGAACTAGACATCGGGGTGCAGACCTGTGAAGTGCTTCTGATGCGTAGTCCTCATGGACACAATCATTTTGAGCGACGCTGTGGCTCTGGAAGCCACAGTAACTTGCCGAATGTTTTGTAGACTTGTGCAGTCGAGTAAGAAAGGCAAAAACTGTTGAATCCAAAGACATTGAGTGCGAAAGGGACATACCTACTAATGTATAAACAAGGGTATCATGCAAGTGTCTGAAGCTACAGATACAACAAAATTATTATTGTTGATAATCCGGTTCATGTGGAATAATTCATGTTGATAATTCATTCAGGTTGCCTTCCGAATGCATGATAGAACTGACGTTTACCTAAAGACTCCGCCTTCAAAGAAGTTGTTGATTGTAACCTTGGATTACCTACAATCAGCCTGAGAACAGTAATGAACCAAAAAACTCAGACAAAACTTTGTAGATTTATGACAATAAATCTACCGCAACTATTGCAGCTATCATCATATTACCACCAAGAGTCATATCTCTGACTTATCCACTGCCATCAGCAGACCCCTAGATGTTACTACTGCTTACCTTAGGCTCTGTTATAAGTATCTCTGGGAATTCGCATTACCTGCTGATGTAGACCTGACTGAGATTTTTTTTCTTTGACAATTATCAAAAGAATTGGTTCCTATTAATGTTACGTTAATCGTAACTACCTGGCAAGAGAGGCAGACCTTAAACAGCAAGAGCTGCCAGTGGCAGATACTTTGAGATGACTTTATCACAAATGTTCAAGAAATGTCTAAATATTTCATTCGAAACGACATAGTGCCCAGGAATACCTGACACAGTATTGGTAATACTCGCTTATTGTCCCCTTGGAATGGTTATCACCCTGGTGGGTCGTCGCTACAGTTATGATCACCCTGGTGGGTCGTCGCTACAGTTATGATCACCCTGGTCGGTCGTCACAACAGTTGTGATCACCCTGGTGGGTCGTCGCTACAATTATGATCACCCTGGTGGGTCGTCACAACAGTTGTGATCACCTTGGTGGGTCGTCGCTACAGTTATGATCACCCTGGTGGGTCGTCGCTAGTTATGATCACCCTGGTGGGTCGTCGCTACAGTTATGATCACCCTAGTGGGTCGTCGTAACAGTTATAATTCCAAGTGGGTTAAGCTGGACATTGGTGAAGAGATATATAATTATAAGCTGTGTCGGCTGGATGTGTTGACTAACGCACTAACCTGGAGAAGGACTGCCGTCCTCGGCGACGAGTCTCAAGATGAGGCTACTGGCTGAACTGCGACCTCTCACATAAGGCTCAAACCACAAGCTACACACACTACTAGCCATTATACTCTAAGCACAGGAACACTATAGCCACGACTAACAATTGCATGTGCCGTATCTAATGTGTGATCTTCTTGATACTAGGTTCCCCCTTCAAAGAAGTTCTGGACGTTACAATATTGACCTTGCAATCAAGAGGCAGATTCCACATTTTGAAAGAAAAATGGTTTAGGCAAAAGAGAGGTGGTGGGCGATGCAGGGTAAGGTGAAGTGCTCCATCTGCTTGCAGTGCAGTTTGAATACTAATAATAAAATAGAACATAATACAAATCTTCGAAAAATGAGTGTCGGTAACTACTATGGATGGAATGAACAAAAGATATATATACTTTTTTGTAAAAAAAAAGTTTTGTTTCATTGATTTGTGTAGAGGACGTGAAATATGACAACAATCAAACCTAACCTTTCCTAATCTTAAGCTTAGGCCTAAGATTGTTAATTTAGAGCTAAGACAGGTTACATTATCGGATAGACTGTTGAAGTTTTGCTATGCAGTATACAAGGGCCTATAGTATACCAATACTACAAAACATGACTTTGCTGGGGTATAACAGTCTACCCCATGTACATTCCATCCATTCACTATAATATAATTTTTGTATAGTAGTATAATACAGTGATGCAATGAATTAGAAGTGAGTTTATTGGCCACAACTCAGGAGCGGACTATGCCTGGGTCCCAGATGCTTGCGATGAACACTAACAAGGCTATTGGTTCTCCCTAGTGTGGCATTGCTGCCAGCCGTGTGCCAGGCTGCTGCTCTTTGACCTCTAAAACATCCTGCCGGCGCCTAACACATTCACAACTCTCACGTTATGTAATAATATACTCATAACTAGCACTTACGGTATGCAATAATACATGTTCACAAACTCTTACAATGGTGCTCATAATTACCCAACCTCTCCTACGACATATCCTTTGAGTGTGCTTCATGTATGTTTTGAACCAAGTACAATCACGTTAGAAAATATTAATATAATTATAAATAATATTTTGTTTTAACTTTTTTTTAAGAGTGGTGGTGTGATAGGCAAAGCTTTAAATGTGTTGGATTTACAAAAAGATAAATATTTAATTTTAATATAATTGTCATTTTGTATAATTTTAGAGATTACATTTGAAGAATTACTTATCAGGAGAGCTTTGATTCCACTATTCTCATGCATGAGCTGAGTGACCCTCCATGACCCAGTATGGGCAGAGTAACAGTGTGAGCTGAGTGACCCAGTATGGGCAGAGTAACAGTGTGAGCTGAGTGACCCAGTATGGGCACAGTAACCGTGTGAACTGAGTGACCCACCATGTGCTGTGACCTGCAGGAGGAGGCGGGCGGAAGCAGCATGGCGAGTGAGCTGAACCTGTCTAATGTAGGTGGGGTGTTCGTTGTGCTGCTGGGTGGCATGGGCCTCGCCCTCGTCGTCGCCATGGGAGAGTTCATCCTCGAGTGCTGGGACATCGCCAAGGATGACCAGGTGAGGCCTCAATTATCAGCTTCGAGGTGTTCCTTTAAATCATAAACAAGTCACTGAGTCTCTCTCTTATCCCAGCTATTCTTGTATATTCTGGTACTGATTTTTCCAAACTGTGATAATTATTTTTGCTGGTTAAATACTTCACTTTATTAATATCAGATGGTATGATCATTGCGAGGCCCAGCTGATGGTGTTGTGTGTCTGCAGGTGTCTCTGTTAAGCGTCTTGAGCACGGAGCTGCGGTTCGTCTTCAAGTGTAAGGGTTCCTCCAAGCCGGTGAGGAAGAAAGTGTCGGAGTCTGAGGAGGCCAACGTCAGCAACAACATCTACGGCTCTGATGTCTACAACTACACCGGCAAGAACCCACTTAGCTGATTGCCGGACGTGACGTCACGCTCCGACGTCACTGATGAGTCCCATCCTTGGATGCTTCCCAGCTACGTCCCACCGCCGCCTTCCCCAGTAGTCAACCTGGAAGCATCAACAGCCAACCAGGACGCTTCTACGATCAATCAGGATCCCCCTACAAACAATCCAAACTCTTCGCCTGCGTATTGTATACCAAGCCAGGACTCTTCACCCTCGCAATCGCACAATCAGAGTGAAGATACATTTGATGCAGCGAGTCTGAGACAAAGAAAAAACTGGTAGAACCTGTTGATAATTGACCTAGTAACCCCTGTCGTGACTTTGAGTTTGTTTCACCCGGCGTAATTTGATGGTGCAGGAGAGGTGAGACGAGCACTGGGAGTCCCACTTCGTTACTTGTTGTTTGCTCCCCCTTAGCCCAATCCCTCTGGCTTGTGAAGAGCCGTGTGGAGGCTTTCGAAACTGACATGTGAAATGCCGCTCCGTGTCCCTTTCTGGCCATAATGAAGTGGATCACTTTTTGTTAGTACCCACTTGAAACATTCACGGTACGACACACTGGATAACTATTTATAGTATTGAATTTTGTATAGTATTAGATGGCCATCTACAAACGACAAAATGACCATCTAAAAAGCATCTATGCGAATGGTACGTGGTTGAAAATGCACTCACCATGCAGGTAGTTTTGGTCTCAGTATGGATTAGGAGTCTAAGCCAACGGTTTTCTGATCAGAAATAAACGGAACACGCATCGAGGTGGTCATACCTTGTCGGCTTGGCAGGGTTGCACCCATGTAACCCGTCCACTACATTTGTCAAAACGAGCAGAAAATGGTGTACTAAAACACCTGAATGACCGACACAAAACTTGACTGTGAGCCACTATGATTTATTGTACGTCATATTTTGTCTGTTTGGGATATTGACGTTGGATCTTCTCTTAAGGCAAGGGGCCATTTCGATTTCATTTGAGGGCAAACTTGTGTGTTGTTATGGCGTGAGACACTCCGCCCACTACCTCTCGGGACCAGTGTTCACCAAGCATTTAAGTGTCCATTTACAAAAACTGTTCATCTTTCCTAAAATATGCCGGCTTAGTTTACATTTATTAAGCAGCATATGAGGTTCGACGCACTACGAGGTTCGCTATAGCAAGAATAACATTGGGGTCGAGACCAACCTCGCAGCACCATTTTCAAGCTTGTAAACTTGAATAAATACAAACTGCCCAAGATAAAGAAAAAATGTACAGGTTTCACAGGTGGACACTTAAGTCCTTGATGAATTCTGGCACTGGATTTTACCCTAGGTCTATTTTTCTTTTCTTTTTTTGAGTGGGGGGGGGCAGCACTTACATTTTGTGTCGTCTTTATAGTACACTTTCCCGGAGCAGTGAAATTGGCTGTGATTTGTCACTTGAAGGCTTTAGTAACTGGATCTTAAAGGAAGAGAAAGCCTGGTGTGTTGTGATGAGTGCTGGTGTGTGTTGTGATGAGTGTTGTTGTGATGAGTGCTGACATGTACTCCCCAGCTCGCAAGATGAGCTGTTAGCAGGTGACTGATAGACAAGTTGTTAGCAAGCGGAATGATTGGTATTGGTGGTACGAGCCGATCCAGGAGGTAATTGGTGGAATGCTAAGATCTAGCAGGCGATTGGTGAAATTAGTATAGCAAGCATTTGAATGATGTAGTGGCCAGTAGTGGCGGCTGACAGGAGGAAGTGTCAGCTTTGGGAGCTGGTAGCTGATGAAATGGTCAGCAGGACTGGCGATTCCATTTGTGTAGCGAGACACTGTCTTGTGTTGCTTTTGTTGCGTCTCGTGACCTAGATCTTAGTTGTCTTGGGTTCTCTCGTTGGGATATTTTGCACCAGAAGTGTTTTTGTGCAGTGTGAGCAAAGGAAACACTTGACTTCTCAGAGAGAGGCGGAGTTTGTTGTGGTCACAAAGGTTCATTAGCTCTTGTGTTCTGAGTATTCCAGGTTCACCCATGGTGGTAGACTTTTGTTGCACCAACCACACCACACAAGCGCACTTTATAATAATCTGCCTTTACTCGTATTTGCATTAATCTCCGCCTGCAGCCACTGGCAATCTCTGAGGGCGTTGGTCACCACTTGTCTTCAGCTAAGGCGAGGCGCGCGCCGCTGGCGTGAATGGTTGTTTGTTATGATGCTGCCACCTCCCCGACACTCATTCTCCCTCACTTGTGTATTATATCCGGCCTTCAGTGTCCTCACTCTTTATGGGTTTGTTATATATTTACTGGCGTTCTCAGAGGGGGCTAAACCTTGCACGTTCTCCTTTAGTATTTTTTCTTCACGTATTCCATATTTTCAATATATTTTGTAGATCCCTGATCATCCTTAGTAGTACACTTTATTTCTAGGTTATCAAACATGAATAATTACAGTGCGTCAATACACAGTTACCTTGTTACTGTTTGAAGTCAAATTAGTCCTCACCATTGTTGATTTAGAGGAGGGTGTGTGTGAATATACACCAACTTGTAATACTTGTTGCTACGTCTCTTCTACGACTGGCTTAACACAACTCATATTTTTTGGCCCTGCAAGTGTATTGTATAAATATTGATGTATTTTGAGGCAATGATACATTGCTGTATGTGTGATTGTATGTTATAGGTGTTGTAATACTGCTTGAGAAGAAACTCCGTTTTGTAATGTGTATAATTCTTTTGTAAAAAAAAATAACTATGTAAGTGAAAATACTAAACTTGATGTTAGTAGTGTGAATTTTATTATATTGGCCTGGTTGTGAGAGATACTGGGTCAAGGTGTGTGAGGTGCTGGGTCATTTGTGAGACGAGTCAGTTGTGTGAGTAGGCCCCCCCCCCCCCTCCCTCATAAACGATGGCCAAATGCTTGATAGTCCAACCGCCAAGCCCCGTTTATGAATTTAAACACTTTACACATAACTTTAGGTGATTACGTCCTGACTTAAGAAGTGATTCACTATATATGTTCGAATCATTCCTATCTGAATACTTCAACAATGTACTACAAATATAAATTATTGCCAACAGAAATGAAACTAACCTAGGTCTAACTAAGGTTAGATTCAAAATTCAAATATAATTTATTTATATTTTAGAAAATTTAGAATTTTCATACACAATATGGTCAAATTTATGAATGCATCTTTGTCGTCTGCCACTTCATGGACGAACAAAGCTTGAGCAAGGGTTAATGCTTCACCCATGCTCTGTAAATACAAATTACTTAAAATATAACCAAAACACCCAACATGGGCCTATTATTAAAACTATAATATGCATAATAATGTTTGTTTATATTTGAGAAAACCGGGGTTTTTTTATTAATATGCTGAATAATTACCAAATGGGTGTTTGATAACGGCGGCAGCTTAGATGAGCACAGGCTGAGCATGAATCGTTGAAGTAGCCCTACTGGGTCCGAATGTGTCAAGGTAACGGGCCAGGTTGTATAAAGTAGTCACTTAAATTGTACAATCAAACAGCCTTAACAGTCTTATTCTTGATTAATATTGGAAAGTTTTCATCATTAACCAAGAGACCTGTTAAACTGACTGTGTTTACAAATGTCAGAACTGGAATGTGACTGGATTATGTAAACAATGCGCACCTCTGTCGACTCATATTGACATTTGGTGGAATTCCATTTCTCATTTGGTATCATGTTCATATATGTGATTTGTGTTCGTATAGGCTGTATACAAGATGCAGCATTCTGTCCCGCTGTGTGTGTGGAAAGTCTGAAAATGTGGAAGTATTGGGAGAGGTGTCGAGACCCTGAGTCTGGTGCCATTTAGTGTGTGTCAGGGACTGTAGATGTAATAATGATGTCTTGTAGGTTTATGGGGAGAAGGTGACCAAGGAAGCAAAGCCACCTCACAGCTCCTGCTTTCTCCTTCTTGACCCTACACATGGACGAAGACCCCTGGGTCTGGTACAGACCATACGCCACACTACCACTACTACTCCATTGCCACCTTACCACTACCACCCCACCTCAACCCTGCTCTTTGCCTCCACAAATATGCACCACCACTCATCACCACAACTACCCACCACCACAACTACCCACCACCACAACTACCCACCACCACAACTACCCACCACCACCACAACTACCCACCACCACCCACCACCACCCATTGCCACAACTACTCATTACCACAGCTACCAACCACCAGTACCACTCATTGCCACAACTACCCACCACCACCACCCATCGCCACAACTACCCATCGCCACAACTACCCATCACCACAACTACCCACCACCACAACTACCCATGACCACAACTACCCACCACCACAACTACCCACCACCACAACTACCCATGACCACAACTACCCACCACCACAACTACCCACCACCACAACTACCCATGACCACAACTACCCACCACCACAACTACCCATGACCACAACTACCCACCACCACAACTACCCACCACCACAACTACTCATCACCACCACTACCCATCACCACAACTACTCATCACCACAGCTACCAACCACCAGTACTGCCTTCGCCACAATTACCCATCACCACAACTACCCACCACCACCCATCGTCACAACTATTCATCATCACAACTACCCACCACCACCTCTACCCATCACCACCACTACCCACCACCACAACTACCCACCACCACCACTACCCACCACCACAACTACCCACCACCACCACTACCCACCACCACAACTACCCATCACCACCACTACCCATCCCCACAACTACTCACCATAGCTACCAACCACCAGTACCGCCCTTCGCCATAACTACCCACCACCAGTATACACAATCACCATTCATCACCTCCAGTCACCGGCATCACCATCCATCACCAACACTCCACCACCCCCAGTACGGACAAGCACTATTCATCACTACCGTGTGTCCATCGTGTCTCTTTCTCCTCTCCTGCACTTCTATCGTCATGTAATTCCTCCTCCTCCCGCACGTCCGTCGCCACGTAATTCCTCCTCCTGCAGGTCCGTCGCCACGTAATTCCTCCTCTCCCGCACGTCCGTCGCCACGTAATTCCTCCTCTCCTGCACGTCCGTCGCCACGTAATTCCTCCTCTCCCGCACGTCCGTCGCCACGTAATTCCTCCTCTCCTACACGTCCTTCGCCACGTAATTCTTCCTCTCCCGCACGTCCGTCGCCACGTAATTCCTCCTCTCCTACACGTCCGTCGCCACGTAATTCCTCCTCTCCTACACGTCCGTCGCCACGTAATTCCTCCTCTCCTACACGTCCGTCGTCACATAATTCCTCCTGAACGTCTATCGTCATGTAATTCCTCCTCCTCCTGCACGTCCGTCGCCACGTAATTCCTCCTCTCCCGCACGTCCGTCGCCACGTAATTCCTCCTCTCCCACACGTCCGTCGCCACGTAATTCCTCCTCTCCCGCACGTCCGTCGCCACGTAATTCCTCCTCTCCTGCACGTCCGTCGCCACGTAATTCCTCCTCTCCCGCACGTCCGTCGCCACGTAATTCCTCCTACACGTCCGTCGCCACGTAATTCCTCCTACACGTCCGTCGCCACGTAATTCCTCCTCTCCCGCACGTCCGTCGCCACGTAATTCCTCCTCTCCTGCACGTCCGTCACCACGTAATTCCTCCTCTCCCGCACGTCCGTCGCCACGTAATTCCTCCTCTCCTACACGTCCGTCGCCACGTAATTCCTCCTCTCCCGCACGTCCGTCGCCACGTAATTCCTCCTCTCCTACACGTCCGTCGCCACGTAATTCCTCCTCTCCTACACGTCCGTCGCCACGTAATTCCTCCTCTCCTGCACGTCCGTCGCCACGTAATTCCTCCTCTCCTGCACGTCCGTCGCCACGTAATTCCTCCTCTCCTACACGTCCGTCGCCACGTAATTCCTCCTCTCCTACACGTCCGTCGCCACGTAATTCCTCCTCTCCTACACGTCCGTCGTCACATAATTCCTCCTCTCCTACACGTCCGTCGTCACATAATTCCTCCTCTCCTACACGTCCGTCGTCACATAATTCCTCCTCTCCTACACGTCCGTCGTCACATAATTCCTCCTCTCCTACACGTCCGTCGTCACATAATTCCTCCTGAACGTCCATCGTCACGTAATTCCTCCCCCTCCTGTACGTCCATCGTCACGTACTTCACCACTTCATCGTCCTCGTGCTCCGACCTCCTCTTCTACCTCACCAGGATTTCGCGTCTTCCTTCATCGTCCCTTCAATCCCAGACTTCTCCCCTTCAGGTTCCTGGTACTGGCATCCCCCTCCTAGTACTAACCCCCTATCCTGGCACTAGCCTTCCTTCCTTCCTGGTATTACCCTTCCTCCCTCCCTCTCTCCTGACACTAGCCCGCACCCCTCCTGGCACTAACCTCATCCCACCTAACACTAGCATCCATCCCTCCTGGTACCAGAGGCTCATCACAAGCACTATAGTCCGTTTCTATTCATTTTTGTATGTGACTTTTCCCCTCTGGATTGTTGTCTACGGCCCCTTGTAAGTATTTATGGATAAAATAAAAATATTTTAAACAATACAAGTACATATTTTTTAAATAGAATCCCTTGATCGAGTAACTTAATCCTGTAACACTAAGAATAGCATCTTGGTATGTCTGTAAGAAGTGTGTTGTATTTAAAAGCTATGCACTACACCTGATCAACCAGGCTTCGAGGACGGGTTGGTAATTCATACGTCTGGCTGCGTGCGGCCGCGTCCAATAGCCTAGTTAATCAGTCCAGCAGCGAGGCCTGGGTCTAGATTCACGAAGCAGTTACGCAAACACTTACGAACCTATCCATCTTTTCTCAATCTTTGGCGGCTTTGTTTACAATTATTAAACAGTTAATGAGCTCCGAAGCACCAGGAGGCTGTTTATAACAATAACAACAGTTGAATGGAAAGTTTTCATGCTTGTAAACTGTTTAATAAATGTAACCAAAGCCGTCAAAGACTGAAGAAAGATGTACACGTTCCTAAGTGCTTGCGTAAGTGCTTTCGTGAATCTGGCCGCTGGTCTAGGACCGGGGTACGCAGGTACGTTGAGCCCCAAAATCATCGCAAGGAGATCGCTAATTATGTTCAGCATTACGACGACTATGGTCAAAACAGCCATAACATACATCTTTAAATGGAACTTGTCAGTCACAGACATCTCGCGTTATCCACCCAGCCGTCCAAGTGTCATACTCACCCGTCACCACGAAGGGTAGTGATCGTGAGAATCTTGCTCTCATAAAAGCAGTCCCACTGGAAACAACACCCTCCTCAGTGGAGAGCGTCAGGCCACAGGTTTACAGTGTTGGTTCAGACTGACCGTCAACAGATCCAGAGCATAAACAGTTAAATACAAGATTAGAAGTAGCTGTAGGAGTATAATGAAGCAGTACTCTCAAGGGTTGTTAACGTCAAGACACTTTTGCAACAATAACAATTTATTCAACAAACTTACTTTCTAATGCACGGTAATAACAACTTTACGATACGTTAATTTCCCGAGTGTCACTCCACAGCTAAACAATGCCAGTGGCAACAGTACTCCGTCCCACCACTCTGACTAAATTACGAGACCTAGTCTCGAACCTTGCATAGGCGAGAGAGAGAGAGAGAGAGAGAGACAGACAGACAGACAGACAGACAGACAGACAGACAGACAGACAGACAGACAGACAGACAGACAGACAGACAGACAGACAGACAGACAGACAGAGAGAGACAGACAGAGACAGACAGAAAGAGAGAGAGAGAGACAGAGAGAGAGACAGAGACAGAGACAGAGAGAGAGAGAGACAGAGACAGAGACAGAGACAGACACACAGACAGACAGACAGACACACAGACAGACAGACACACAGACAGACACACACAGACAGACAGACACACAGACACAGACACACTCACACTCACACTCTCTCTAACTACCAGAAATATGGAAGACGGCGAATGTGGTCCCAATATACAAAAAGGGCGACAGGCAAGAGGCACTGAACTACAGGCCAGTGTCCTTGACTTGTATACCATGCAAGGTGATGGAGAAGATCGTGAGAAAAAACCTGGTAGCACATCTGAAGAGAAGAGACTTGTGACAAATCGCCAACATGGGTTCAGGTAGGGGAAATCTTGCCTGACTGGCTTAATAGAATTCTACGGCCAGGTGACAAAGATTAAGTAAGAAAGAGAGGGCTGGGCGGACTGCATTTTCTTGGATTGTCGGAAAGCCTTTGACACAGTACCGCATAAGAGGCTGGTACATAAGCTGGAGAGACAGGCAGGTGTAGCTGGTAAGGTGCTCCAGTGGATAAGGGAGTACCTAAGCAATAGGAAGCAGAGAGTTACGGTGAGGGGTGAGACCTCTGATTGGCGTGAAGTCACCAGTGGAGTCCCACAGGGCTCTGTACTCGGTCCTATCTTGTTTCTGATATATGTAAATGATCTCCCGGAGGGTATAGATTCATTTCTCTCAATGTTTGCGGACGATGCCAAAATTATGAGAAGAATTAAGACAGAAGAGGATTGTTTGAGGCTTCAAGAAGACCTAGACAAAGTGAAGGAATGGTCGAACATATGGTTGTTAGGCTTTAACCCAACCAAATGTAATGTAATGAAGATAGGTGCAGGGAGCAGAAGGCCAGATACAAGGTATCATCTGGGAGAGGAAATTCTTCAGGAGTCAGAGAAAGAAAAAGACTTTGGAGTTGATATCACGCCAGACCTGTCTCCTGCAGCCCATATCAAGAGGATAACATCAGCGGCATATGCCAGGTTGGCCAACATACGAACGGCATTCAGAACTTTGTATATCACATATGTCAGGCCAATCCTAGAGTATGCAGCCCCAGCATGGAGTCCATATCTAGTCAAGGATAAGACTAAACTGGAAAAGGTTCAAAGGTTTGCCACCAGACTAGTACTCGAGCTGAGAGGTATGAGCTACGAGGAGAGACTACGGGAATTTAACCTCACTTTGCTGGAAAACAGAAGTTAGGGGGGACATGATCACCACATTCAAGATTCTGAAGGGAATTGATAGGGTAGATAAAGACAGGTTATTTAACACAAGGGGCACACGCACAAGAGGACACAGGTGGAAATTGAGCGCCCAAATGAGCCACAGAGATATTAGAAAGAACTTTTTTAGTGTCAGAGTGGTTGACAAATGGAATGCATTAGGAAGTGATGTGGTGGAGGCTGACTCCATACACAGTTTCAAGTGTACATATGATAGAACCCAATAGACTCAGGAATCTGTACACCTGTTGATTGACGGTTGAGAGGCGGGACCAAAGAGCCAGAGATCAATCCCCGCAAACACAGCTAGGTGAGTACACACACATGCCTGGTGGATAGCGCGCAGGACTCGTAATTCTGTGGCGCGGGTTTGATTCCTGCACCAGGCAGAAACAAATGGGCAAAGTTTCTTTCACCCTGAATGCCCCTGTTACCTAGCAGTAAAAAGGTACCTGGGAGTTAGTCAGCTGTCACGGGCTGCTTCCTTGGGGTGTGTGTGGTGTGGAGAAAAAAAAAGTAGTTAGTAAACAGTTGAGAGGCGGGCCGAAAGAGCAAAGCTCAACCCCCGCAAACACAACTAGGTGAATACATATATATCCTCTCGTGTGTACTCTATATATTTAAAACTCTGAATTGTAATGTCAATCCTGACCTTCAACGCTTCCTAGAAGGTTGTAACAGAACTCATGGGCACCACACCAGAAACAAATACCTATTTGATATTCCAAGAGTACGACTTAATCAAACTAGGAATGCTCTACAAATCAAGGGACCCAGAATTTGGAATGACCTTCCCAATCATGTCAAAGATTGTCCCTCTCTCAACCAGTTTAAGATGAAAACTAAATACTACCTAATTAACTCCATGTAATCTACTTTACTTCTAAATGTCAAACCATGTCTTAGTATTATTTAAAAAAATAATGCTGTTTGTTGACCAACTTGTATATTGGCTATTTTCTACCATGTTCCCCCTTTTTTTATCTTTTATTATTTTTTTCTTTCAACGCAATTTATACTTTAAGCTCAATTACTATTAAGTTTTAGTCTAAGTGTTTTTTCCCACCTCACCTTGCCCGAAACGCTGTGCGTACTAGTGGCTTTAGGTACTGTATGTACTACCTCTATCTATAAATCCAACAATGTTTGTACTGTAACTGCAACTATGTATGTACTTTTCCTAAATAAATTATTATTATATATATATATATATATATATATATATATATATATATATATATATATATATATATATATATATATATATATATATAATATATATATACAGTATATATATATATATATATATATATATATATATATATATATATATATATATATATATATATATATATATATATATATAATACATGTCACCTGGACACACCACTCAATGACTTAATCTTCCACTGGTGTCTGGAAATAATAGAAACATACACAGCATCACACAGACACGGGAATCAATATAATAACAACACCATACAATTATAAGCACAACACTATACAAATACTAAATGTGTGGCGAGGTGTAACACTTACACCCAAGACAGTGACGTAACACAGGGTCACGTAGACGGCTGTAACGATACTTACTGATAGTCTCCTCGACCAGTTTACTCACACTTGTTACAGGTGATGAGATAACTGCGGCTCGGATGGTTGATTCTAGATCAACACAAGGAAACGCATACAAGATAAATATTTATACTCACTTTAAAAGACCGGCCTTGTCACTCAAACCTTGCATGAATACAATGATATAGATGCTCTGATGAAATACTCCAGCAAGCAACGCACATGGTACCATGCAAGTTACAATTAAATACACTGGGTGGCAGCATGATAGAGCTGATGGTTGGCCAAAGAATCTCCCTTTAAAGGAGAAAGTGATTATAACCTTGGATTGTCAATAAGCAGTCCGAGAGGAATAATACACCAAGAACTTCAACAAAATCTTGTAGATCTGAGGCAAAGGGAAATCGACACCAGTAATTCCATATATTCAAATACAAATATTTATTCAGGTAAAGTACATACATACAAGGTGAAATACAAAAGTTGATGGATCATCATACTATCATGCAAGAGGAGCCACACATCTATGGATCATCCAATAAAATCAGCAGACTTCTTCTAGATGTTACTACTGCTCGGCTTAGACTCGGTTACAAGTATCTCTGGGAATTCTCATTATCTGCTGATGTAGACCTGACCAAATGTAAACTGTCAATAAAATTATTCGCAAACCCACCGTCACTATGTGATGGAGTGAGAAAAGATATGTGAATTCAGAGACAATTCTATAACAAATGTTCCAAAGATGTGTAAATATTTCATTCGAAATTATCTACTACCAGAAATTTTAGCCAAATATCCCCAGTTTGCTAACTGTAGGATATCAGTCATCAAGATTGTAACTTGCTTAGCTAAATGAATTGTGGGGTTCTGTCCCTGAGCCCATTATGTGCCTCTGTAACCCTTTCCACTACCGTCCACAAGATGGGTATGGGGTGCATAATAAATTAACTAAACTAAACTTTAACTAAATAATAACTTAACGATTTTCATAAGAGCTAACTACTGAATCATGGAAATACAGTATTATAATTATTTTACCAGTTTCTATAAGATTAGCTTTGGTTTGTCTGTAACAAACCACTGTTCTTATCTACTACTGAAAAAGTCTACAACATTGAACTGGCGATAACAGGTCCGTGATTAATAGTCGACTTAGTGTTAGTTTAGTTCATTTATTATGCACCCCATACCCATCTTGTGGGCGGTAGTGGAAAGGGTTACAGAGGCACATAATGGGCTCAGGGACTGAACCCCACAATTCATTTAGCTAAGCAAGTTACAATCTTGATGAGCTAGTTACAAAATTGAATATAAGTCGACTGAGAGCATCAAGATTATTGACTAAATTTACGTTAATCTTTCGAGTTACAAAAATGATCGCTTGAGGCTAATCTGCACTTGTGAGGAGTGGTGGTATGGGAACTAGCAAAGGGTAGCACCCACGCCCCTAGTACAGGACAGTACCCACGCCTCCAGTCCAGTACAGGGCAGCACTCACACCCCCAGCACAGGGCAGCACCCCCGCCCCCCCCAGCACAGGGCACCACCCCGCCCCCCCTCCCTAGCATAGGGCAGCACCCCGCCCCCCCCAGCACAGGGCACCACCCCGCCCCCCCTCCCTAGCATAGGGCAGCAGCCGCCCTCCCTAGCACAGGGCAGCACCCCCTCCCCCCCCAGCACAGGGCAGCACCCCCTCCCCCCCAAGCACAGGGCAGCACCCACGCCCCCCAGCACGCACGCTCCCCCGCGCGATAATAGTGGCTGGGATTTACATCACATTTAAAGATGTTTACCTTTAACAGTGGCGGGTGGCGGGAGGGTTGGCAGCCGTGGAGTGGACGCTCCTCACACCAGCGGCTGGTAATACACTACGGTCTCTCCCACCACCCCCTAGTTTACCACTGTTGAAGACGTGCACGGGGGGGTGCACCACTCCCCCGTGCACGCCTCCAAGGTGGCGTGCACGTCCTGGTAGTGAGTGTGTGTGTGTGCGTGTGACCTGCCACCAGCGGCCCCCGGCGGTACGGGTCACTTGGTTGCTTCACGGCCATTTTGTTTATTATTCCTCGCTGTGGCTGGCGGGGACAATCAATATCGTCTGCATGCGTGTCTGTGGACCCGTGCGGTGGTTGACACGGTGTGGTGTGGAGTGGTGTGGCGTGAGTGTGGTGGAGGAGTGGAGTAGTGGAGGAGGGGCGTGTGGTGGGCTGTCAGTGGTGTGGGCAACACTGCCACCTCTCTTCTCGCTTGTGTCCTCGTGCCCCAGGTGTTCCTTCGTGCCCCCAGGTGTTCCTTCGTGTCCCAGGTGTTCCTTCGTGCCCCCAGGTGCTCCTTCGTGTCCCAGGTGTTTCTTCGTGACCCAGGTGTTCCTTCGTGACCCAGGTGTTCCTTCGTGACCCAGGTGTTTCTTCGTGACCCAGGTGTTCCTTCGTGACCCAGGTGTTTCCTCATGCCCAAGGTGTTTGTTCGTGCCTCCAGGTGTTTGTTCGTGTCCCAGGTGTTTCCTCATGCCCCAGGTGTTTGTTCGTGTCTCAGGTGTTTGTTGTTGTTGATGCTCCAAGTGTATCTCCATGCTCCAGGTGTATTGTGATGCCCCAAGTGTTCCTTGACAGTGGTTGAACCAGGACCTGCAGCTGTCCTGACCTGTCACACCAAGTGTGTCTTGATAGTGATGGTGAACCAGGACCTGCACCTGTGTCCTGACCTGTCACACCAAGTGTGCCTTGATAGTGATGGTGAACCAGGACCTGCACCTGTGTCCTGACCTGTCACACCAAGTGTGTTTTGATAGTGATGGTGAACCAGGACCTGCACCTGTGTCCTGACCTGTCACGCCAAGTGTGTCTTGATAGTGATGGTGAACCAGGACCTGCAGCTGTCCTGACCTGTCACACCAAGTGTGTCTTGATAGTGATGGTGAACCAGGACCTGCACCTGTGTCCTGACCTGTCACGCCAAGTGTGTCTTGATAGTGATGGTGAACCAGGACCTGCACCTGTGTCCTGACCTGTCACGCCAAGTGTGTCTTGATAGTGATGGTGAACCAGGACCTGCAGCTGTGTCCTGACCTGTCACGCCAAGTGTGTCTTGATAGTGATGGTGAACCAGGACCTGCAGCTGTGTCCTGACCTGTCACGCCAAGTGTGTCTTGATAGTGATGGTGAACCAGGACCTGCAGCTGTTCTGACCTGTCACACCAAGTGTGTCTTGATAGTGATGGTGAACCAGGACCTGCAGCTGTCCTGACCTGTCACGCCAAGTGTGTCTTGATAGTGATGGTGAACCAGGACCTGCAGCTGTGTCCTGACCTGTCACGCCAAGTGTGTCTTGATAGTGATGGTGAACCAGGACCTGCACCTGTGTCCTGACCTGTCACGCCAAGTGTGTCTTGATAGTGATGGTGAACCAGGACCTGCACCTGTGTCCTGACCTGTCACGCCAAGTGTGTCTTGATAGTGATGGTGAACCAGGACCTGCACCTGTGTCCTGACCTGTCACGCCAAGTGTGTCTTGATAGTGATGGTGAACCAGGACCTGCACCTGTGTCCTGACCTGTCACGCCAAGTGTGTCTTGATAGTGATGGTGAACCAGGACCTGCACCTGTGTCCTGACCTGTCACGCCAAGTGTGTCTTGATAGTGATGGTGAACCAGGACCTGCACCTGTGTCCTGACCTGTCACGCCAAGTGTGTCTTGATAGTGATGGTGAACCAGGACCTGCACCTGTGTCCTGACCTGTCACACCAAGTGTGTCTTGATAGTGATGGTGAACCAGGACCTGCACCTGTGTCTTGATCCCCTGTCACACCAAGTGTGTCTTGATCCCCTGTCACACCAAGTGTGTCTTGATCCCCTGTCACACCAAGTGTGTCTTGATAGTGATGGTGAAACAGGACCTGCAGCTGTCTTGACCTGTCACACCAAGTGTGTCTTGATAGTGATGGTGAACCAGGACCTGCTGTGTCATCTTCCTGGCCTGTCATATTAAGTGTATCTTGATGCCCCAGGTTTACCTTGATGCCCCAGGTTTACCTTGATGTCCCAGGTTTACCTTAATGCCCCAGATTTACCTTGATGCCCCAGGTTTACCTTGATGCCCCAGGTTTTCCCTGATGCCCCAGGTTTTCCTTGATGTCCCAGGTTTTCCTTAATGTCCTTAATGCCCAAATTGTACCTTGAAGCCTGAAGTCTTAACTCCCCAAGTTGTCTGCTAGGTAGTGACTGGGTTAAAGATAAACAGTGCACAGTCATTTCAACAAACATATCAACATTTAAATACATTTTTGTTAATCATACTGTAATAATATTGGAAAAGATATTAAGATTTAAAAAATCTACCTGGAGTACAGTACAGTACTGTACTTGTTTAGTGTCAAACATTTTGTCTACCAATTCACTTTCACATAATAGCATTGTTCACATAACAGTAAATGGGTACTGTATCTGGAAATTAGGCAACTGTTTTGTCTTTCATCCTGTACATAAAATTAATCCTCATTTAATATTCTGATTTGCCCATGTCATCATGTAAAATTGAGCTTTTAAATAGTGTGTTCATTAATACAGTATTAGATTTCTTTTAGATCTGTTTTCCTTTTCTTTTTCAGTACAGTATTTATTTTGGCAATTATATTTTTGTATAAACAATTATGTGCAACTGTTGGGTTCTGTAGTACATTGTTCTACATCTTCAGCTCTTAATCGATGGACCCAGGTCCAATCTCCCCTGGCATAACATGACAGGGTGGACATGGTTCTTTTCACCTGATGCCACTGTTCAGTCTAGCAGGAGAATAGGTACCCTGGAGTTAGGCAACTGCTGCAGGTTGGGTAAGCTCGGGAATTGGCCTACGGAGACCTCAGTAAGCCTAACATGCTTCCTATCCCAAACAGTGGGAATTACACATTGTATAAAATGAGATTTTCCAATCATTTATCTTTATTTTGTGTTTCTTCATGCCATATTATAGGTACTGTACTAATCTTTGCCCTTATTTGTTATTTCAGCCTGGATCCCAAACCAGCATGGTTGCTCCATATAGGTATTGCCTCATACTTTTCTGTTATTCTTAAAATTTGCATCTCTATTTTGTTTTCATACTTATACAACTGATAAAAAAAAAATTGTGTAAAAAAGTTTGTTTATTTTAAGCTTCGTCAGTTATCCGCTTAATATGGATAAAGTGTAGTGAAACCATCGATTCAGAGAATGTCCGGTTGGCATGCACACTTTCCAGGTTATATTAACTCTCCCGATTCTACGAAATCTTGATTGATGAAGCGAGGAATGTGTGGATTTGCTTAGGATGTTGGGATAAACTTCATAGACTGGTGGAAAAGTTATCCATCATATCATAGGTTAAAATGAAAGAGTCCCTTGAAATCAGCCCATATACCATGGGATATATATAAGGATATGAATAGTAACACTTAATAGGGCTCCAATTAGCTTTTTAATGATTTTCATAAGATTAGAAGAAAGTGTTGGGAGATTTAGGAAAGCCATTGAGCATGTTTAAAACAAAACTTGGGTTCTTTTTTTTATTTTATTTCCAGTTGCAGAGGTTTTTGTTCAGGAAATTATGGGCTGTTCTTCCTTTGAAAATTTGAATTTAAGGCTAGGGCTTGGGAAATATGCTAAATGTGGTTAAATCTCTCTACAGATAAGTTCTCATGGTAGCTGTCCTTTATATGACAGGTTAAAATTAAAATTTTGCTAGCTGAAATCAGCCCATAGAGTATGGGAAATATTAGGGCATGAATGGTAACGGTTAATATGGCTCTAATCATGTTTTTAATGATTTAGGTAGATGGATGCAATGCAGATGAGGAGTCACAATAACGTGGCTGTAATATGTTGACCAAACCACACACTAGAAAGTGAAGAGACGACGACGTTTCGGTCCGTCTTGGACCATTCTCAAGTCGCTTCTGTGATCGACAGGTTGAAGTTAAAATTTTACTCGGTGAAATCGGCCCATATAACATGGAGAAATATTAGGTTATGAATGGTAACTGTTAATATGGCTTCACTCAAGGTTTAATGATTTTTGTAGAAAGACACAACATTAGAAGAAATAGTTGGGGGCCTTGGGATAGCCATTGTGATATTTAAAAACAAATGTTATGGTTCATCTACAAAGAATTGGGGTTGGTCCCATATGGTTAGTTGAATCAATGTTGCACAGTATTTAAATTACTTGATTTTGATAAAAATAAATTGCTAATTTGATTTAGATCACTTAATTTTATCTTTTTAGATACTGTATACTGTAGTTATTTATGCAAATTTTATTTGCATAATTATGGTTCGTATAATTAAGTATTGTTAGTTTGTATAATTTGATGTTAATTACATCAAAATGTTGAAATAAACCATATCATTTACTAATGTTCTTAACTGTTTTTCCACTTTTTTAATATTACCGATGTTATCGAGTATAGAAGTTATATAATAATAATAATAATAATAGTATTAATAATAACAATATATTTAAAAAGGTGTATTCTGGTTCTAATTCTCAATCGGATAATTACCTAAGTGAAGTTACTGGATGAGATCTGCTTATGGGGTCCCACCTCTCCATACTCTGTCATATTACGCTTTGAAACTATTGATGGCTATGATCTCCACGGCCTTGTCACCTAACTTGTTCCAAACGTGTTCAAACTTTGTTTGCAAAAGTGAACTTTTTAATATTTTTCCAGCACATTTGTTTCCTTATCTTGAATCTATGACCTCTTGTTCTTGAAGTTGCAGTTTTCAAAAATTCTTCTTTGCCAATTATGTCAATTCCTTGTATGTAGTGATCATATCACATCTTTTTCTTCTATCTTTCTCGTACAATATTTAACATCTCTAGCCTCTCCTCGTAGCTATTGTTTTTCAGTTCCGGAAGGCAGTTCGTAGCATGCCTTTGCACCTTTTCCAGTTTATTGATGTGCTTCTTGAGATATGGGTTCCATACAGCTGCTGCATATTTCAATTTTAGTCTCACAAAAGTCATAAACAGTTTCTTTAATATTTCACCATCTAGTATTTAAAAGCGATTCTAGAATTGAATATCACGGCATATCCTCCTTGCGCAATGTCCTTTGTGGTCCTTTGATGACAGTCTACTATTCATAACCACCCCTAGCTCTTTTTTTTCTTTGAGTTCTTTTGTGTCTTTCCAATTAATTTATAGGGTGTTTGTGGCATGTTTTCTCCCTATTCTACATTCCATAATGTGGCATTTGAGATATATACAAGAGTTACATTCTTGTACAGCCACTAGTACGCGTAGTGTTTCGGGCAGGTCCCTGGAATACGATCCCCTCCCGCGAAGAATCGTTTTTTCATCCAAGTACACATTTTACTGTTGCGTTAAACAGAGGCTACAGTTAAGGAATTGCACCCAGTAAATCCTCCCCGGCCAGGATACGAACCCATGAATTCCATTTGCAGAGTGTTGCTTCATACACTTATTTTGTCCAGGTCATCTTGAAGGACATGACAATCGCCTAAGTCCCTTATATTTCATAGTAGCTTAGTATCATCAGTAAACACGTTCAAAAAGTTTTGTATTCCTCCCGGTAGATCGTTTATATAGGCTATGAAAATTTCTGGCACAAGAACTGAAATGTGTGGTACTCCCCTGTAACACTCCTCTAGTCTGATACAGTACATTGATTACCACCCTCATCTTTATGTCAATTAGAACAATTTTTCATCCATGTCAGCAGTCTGCCTGTCTTCCTTCCAACACATTCCAATTCCAGGTTCCAGAACAACCTCTTCTGTGGGATTCTGTCAAAAGCCTTATTTAGATATACACACAAATAACCCAATAAACACAGGCATCCCGACCATCTCATTCTTGTAGAATCTATATGACTCTATTATTAAAACTAAGTAGATTTATTACACAGGATCTTCCTGTTCAAAAACCATACTGACTGTTGTTATATCATTTCTCTCCAGGTATTCTATCCATTTGGTTTTAATTTTTTTTCCAGTGTTTAGACAACCGTGCTTGTCAACAAGGCAGGTCTGTAATTTAGAGGGATTTCACTGCACCCTCTTTTGTAGAGTGAAACTATGTTTCCCTTTTGCCATATCTGTTAAGATTTCTGTACACAAAGATGTCTGAAATATCAATTAACACTTTCGCGCTTTAGATTAGAGATAACTCGTCGCCGTTTTTTCTTACGATTCCGCATAACAGCCTACTTTTCTCGTCCATCGAAAAAATATTTCTATAAATTCCATTTTTTAACCGAAATGGATGGGGATACTTTTGTTTTGTAGAGAATGTATTTGCGAATTTTTTGGTACCAGAATGAATATTATATCACATAAACTTCTATGAGTAAAAAAAAAAAATACACAGTATGTTTGGGGGTGTGGCGAGCGTGTGGCAGTGGGTTCCCTTTAGCCGTTGATATATCCAACACGTGGGAAATATTTGTATGTGTTATGTATATGTCTGTGTAGGGAATTTTACTGCGATCACTGTCATACAAATTATAAAATGTTTCAACAAGTATAAACATGACAAACATCAAACGAACGAAAACAATGCGTTCGTTTCTGCCGCGAACGCATACTGAGCGACGTGGTTCTATATTTGGCGCTTCTCTTACACATGCTTTGTACAAATGTTATACAGTTCATCATATAGAAAATTTTATTGTGAACACATTGGTATAAAAAAGAAATACGTACATAGAAAAGTAGGGTCAGGAAACGTATAAACTTTCCAAGCATGATTTCCCCCCTGTGTTTTCGCCAGTGCGCTCGCGGCTAACTACTCTCCACTTCACACACTCTTGCGGGTGGGCAATTACCTATATTAAACATTCATATGCATATGTCCGTGTAGAGAATTTTATTGCGATTCCAATGATACCAAAATTAGCGATGTAGGACAACTGTAGGCTTCGCAACCATTAAGAGAGTGGAAACATTTTGTTGCTGTTTGGCGCTCTCGGCGAGTGATCTGCATAGTTTTTTATTTGGTGTTGATACTCCTTATGCTTGGGCGGCATTTTATAGGTATGCTCTTATAGACAATTTCATTGCGAACACAGTGATACCAAATTTAAATACGTGCGCCTTCAATTATTGTCAGGACAGTCAAAAGAGTGTACACTTTTTCGGTCTTACCGCATAGGCGCGCGAAGTGCCGAAAGCATCTGGGGTATTGTTTTTTTTTGAGCGCCGAGAGCGCGAAAGTGTTAAAGTGGAATGCTCAGATGCGGTGCACATTCCTTCTGAACTGAGATTGAAACTACATTTGGTCCAACTGCTTTATTTATTCCTAGCTCTTTTAGTAATTTTTCACATCGTCACAGGATATCTCTATGTACTGTACTGTATGGTGTTCTTTGAAATTAGCATTGTGTCTGGTTCTTGGAAAACCGCTGTAAGAGGTGATAACTAGCTGTGCAGTACCCTGCGCCCCTACCAGTGACAAAAACTACCTCCTACCCAGAAGCAACAAGGGCAACAAACCCTAGCTGACTCCAAGGGGCAGCCAAGTACTGAGCAGTAAAAGACACAGCAGAAGTAGATCCCAAGGCGACATGTGGAAGGTGGCCCCAAGCCTCAAGGGCAGTAATTACTGGGCACCTAGGGAAGGAAACCCTAGGTGCGTGCAGCCCGAGTACCGTAGAATGTTACTCCTGGCTCACATACCTGTAGAGACGGATCACTTCACAAGACACAGAAACTGAAACCAAACCAAGAGCCAGAGGCACATGACCTGTCAGTATCACATCAGCCAAGAACTGACAGTTGGATCGCCGGCACGAGGGTCTGGACAGCGGCGCAGCAACGTGATGACGTCATGCTCGTTTGCTAATTTTCGTCCACTCGCTCGGCTATCGGTACCAATATTTTCAAAAGAATAGGGGTTTCTTTTGGGGTGCCTACCTTTCTGGGTGCCAGACCCAGTCGATGGCAGACGTAGAGTGCTTCCAACCACACGGAAGTATCATCAGCAAACACGTTAGAAAAGTTTTGTATTCCTCCCGGTAGATCGTTTATAAGGGGGCCAGGTTCTGGCTCATGATCCCCAGTAGGCAAGAATGCCATGCACTTTGATGCCAGAAAACTAATAATGCCATAACAGCCTGGATAGTTCCAGGGAGCCTCCGGGACTTGCCCAGAAAATGGCGTTTCATTACATTCAAGTGTTTTTTCCTTCTATAGTGCCGTCTGCATTCCCTTTCTGAGGTTGTTCTCTTTTCTGGCTTTCTGCAAAGAATCATGTTTCAGACAGACTTTATATGCTCAGGCAGTCAATTGTTCTGTTCCTTGAAATTATTTGATTTAAATGTTTGATTTAATGTTTAATTATAAGAAACCATTGGTAAATTAGTAAGGAATGCCATTCTTAATAATAACTTGTCATATGAAATACTGTACTATGTAAATAATATGATATGCATTGCATACTATAAGACAAATATAAACACAGTTTAAATCTAGTATTTCTCGACAAAGATTCTGTTAGAAGTGGTCAAATGTCTAATGCTTTTTTTAGTTACTACTTGGCTGAAAAGTCTCACCAAAGCATGTAAGATAAATATAATGGATTCAACTTTCTTATTCCATTATTGATTGATTTAACAAATGTTGGTAAGAGGATCATTGGGCAATTACAGTATTCCAATTAGAGATGACTCGTCCCGTATAGGCGATATGACCTAATTTCAGCTAATCTCATAAACTGTGTGGTCTGTAGACTATGTTCCAGTGTTAAAATTTACATGAATGCACTTCAAGTCTTTTCTGTTTAATTTTCTTTCATGGTAATTCATTATCACAATATTCAAAATGTGTTAATTTCTTTGTGATTTACACATTTTATACAGTACAAAAATATACATTAAAATATACACACACACAAACATAGCCAGAGATATTTATAATTAACTTTGTTTTTCAGTTACATGAGATGAGAACTGACCAACTTTGCCATAATGGATAAGCACTGATCAAAATTTTCTGCTCACAACATTCCTAGTAAGTTGCTTGAGGTAAAGAAAGGCCTTGCCAGACTTGTGGCTTTATTGATCAAATAATTACAGTACAGTTACATCCTGCAGTAATACAAGTCATATAATATACAATACATATATACAGTTTAAGTACTGTCTATTCATTATAACAATAAGCAAACTGCATATGACTAAAGCTAGGACAAACAGAAATTAAGCTAGAAGTTAACATTCTACCAACCTGTATACAAGCACGACACAGCTGATCTGACGATCAAAACAATAACAGTCAAGTGAGCATTCATCCAGTACAATAATAGCTCCGCCCCCAATACAATAGATTTGACACTTTTACTACATTGTTCAAATTCTGTTCTGAAAGTTTTATTAAGTATCCCCTTAAATGAATCCTTTTGGTGTGTTATAATCAAAATTGTACAAACCAAACCTTATTGTATTGCTTTATTTAAGATCCTGGTAATTCATGAAGCTTGCGGTAAACTTAGATGTTGTAGATTGGTGAATTTGATGAAATGTTGTGTTTGTGGTGCTTTTGTAAAGCTTTGGTGTCGAAGTGAGCCAGAAACAGGAGGTGCTTCCCTTTGGGGAAGGGGATTGTGCCAGGTGGTGTGGGTGGATAAGGTTGCTTGACCCTGCTACACCCAGGTCCATTTCTAGCCAGCAATCACTTCATCATTCCCCAACTCTTCCCACCTTTCACAATTTCACTTTTGTTTTCATTTATAATTCACATAAATTTCTTGATGATTTGCTCTAGTACAACCCGGGTACCCCTCCCCCTCACTACCCCCCACTACCCTCCCCCCCTCACTACCCCCCACTACCCTCTCCCCCCTCACTACCCCCCACTACCCTCCCCCCCCTCACTACCCCCCACTACCCTCCCTCCCACCCTCACTATCCCCCCACTACCCTCCCCCCCCCTTCCCTCCACCCCTTCCCTGGGTCTGACATAACAAATGCCATGACCCCAACAAAAAGAAAGAACAATCTGCTAATCAGGATGACTTCGGAACCTCGTAATGCACCCAATAGGGAAAAAGCAGAACCGAGCTCGAACGAGGAAGGGTCCATTATCGAGGCAAAATCCGGGTCACACAGGTGGTATGCTGCAGTGTCCTCCCAAACCTCCTTAGGCGGTATACGGGAAGCCGAAAACCTCCAGAAGGAAGGGACCGAATAACCCAAGGGAATCCAGAACTGAACCCGGGGGAGAAGCCGAACCCATATAAAATTTGTACAGGGAAGGGGGATAAGAAAACCCCTTCCCCTGCAACAACAAGCCCTGTGCCAAGGGGTACCAACACCTATGTGGGGTCAAACTGGACCCAAGCACCCCAAGCCAACCCCTCCTCAGCCCTGAAATCCTCCATGCCAGGACCCGGGGCAGAGCCGTCCTCCATATCCTCCTCCCCTAAAAAAAAGATTGAGACAACCAGAAAAGCAGAGAAGAGGGGGGGGGCTGCTGGTCAGACCCTGAAGCCTCGGCTGGAGCAAGAGGTTTTTTTTTATTATTATTATTTTCTACCACAGACGTGGCCACACATTTACAATGCTAACCAGCATATATACATTTTCTTCTGTCCTCCATGGACAGGGTTAGAGATGTGTTAAACATATAGTTCAAGGGTTTATTGAACAATCAACCACAGAAGGTGATTCGGTGCTTTTAAAATGCTAAGCTAACCTACATACGTAAATACATAGATACACAGATTTACGTATGCCCTACATAAAGTGTTCGATGTGTCTTTTTACATAGTGTCATTAATGTGCATTTACAAAGGTGAAATGTAATTCTGATCAGCTTCCACATATACTTTATACACATACATAAACATACACACACACACACACACATGCATTCACATACATTTGTCTCTTTTACTCTGACAGGGTGAGATCACCATGTTTCCCATGTTTTCCATGTTTGGTTTCCCTGAGACAAGGGGACAGAGCAACCTTCAAGCTTGAACAAAGCATGATGGGACCCAGAGGATGCATCCGTTGGACCAATGAGCCCCAATGGGGTTTTCCAGGGCCCTTAGGCTGATTGCTAAGGGAAGCCTAGGCAAGGTACTGTTAACCGGTTGGCCCAACTACTGAGAGAACAGTATAAAAGCTAAACCCCTGCCATGTGTACAATCACGGAGACCTAGCAGAGAGCCACCAAAATAACAAAGGGTGGACAATAATCAAGGGGCAGACCCCAACCCCCGCCAGGTAACAAACAAAAAGAAAAACCTGCAAAAGTACAACGTCTCCAGGAGGAACAGAACCAGCTGCTGTGTTACAGGTGACAAGCTGCATAGTACTTTGTGCCCCTACCAGTATTGTCGAATACTACCTCCAAAACCTCATACTTTGGCTTTAGCTTCATACTACCAGTAAAGAATACCCAAGGTCAAACAGTGGAAATGAAAGCCCCAGCTGACCCCAAGAACGGGCAATCACCGAGCAGCAAAAGATCCCTACGGAGGTACTGTAGTTCCTGAACGACTTGTGGAAGGCAACCCCAAGCCGCAAGGGCACTTGAGTACTTACAGGGCACCTAGGGAAGGTGGCCCTAGGTGCATGCAGCCCCAGTGCTCCATGAATTACTCCTGGCTCGTGCACACCACCACACAGCACCGGCTCTGGGGAGCCGGTGGCTGAGTGGACAGCACGCTGGACACGTGATCCTGTGGTCCCAGGTTTGATTCTGGACGCCGGCGAGAAATGATGGGCAGAGTTTCTTTCACCCTATGCCCCTGTTACCTAACAGTAAATAGGTACCTGGGAGTTAGTCAGCTGTCATGGGCTGCTTCCTGGTGTGTATGTGTGTGTGTTGTGTGGAGAAAAAAAAATAGTAGTTAGTAACAGTTGATTGACAGTTGAGAGGCGGGCCGAAAGAGCAGAGCTCAACCCCCGCAAGCACAACTAGGTGAATACAGCAGAACAACACTGCTCAGAGACAGGAGCCAGAGTTGAATGACCACCACCACACAACACATCAGCCTTAGAACTGGGGTTAGATAGCCGGCACGAGGGATCTGGGACTTCCCCTTTCTCCTCCTGGGAAGGGGGGGGGGGAGAGAGCTGCACAGACAGCGGTGCGGCGGCGGTTGTGACGTCATGCTTGTTTTCAGATTGTGGGGTTCTGCTTGGTAGTTCGGTTTTTAGAAATTTTTAACCAGGTGGAGTAGTTTTGAGATGTCTACTTTTCTAGGTGCCTAACCTGGTAGATGGCAGACATAGAATGCTTCCAACCCCATGGGGGGTTTCTATAGGCCATTGATCCTCGTGCCTCTGAGGGGGGCCAGGTTCTGGGTCGTGGTCCCTGGTAGGCTAAAACTCCAATTGAATTAATTGATCCCACGGTCTAATATATACATATCAGCCTGGTATAGTTCCAAGGAGCCTCCGGGACTCACCCAGAAAATATTTTTTTTTTTACAATGTGTTAGGGACTGGAAAGCTAGTGAAATGATACATAAAAACAAAGCACCAAAATCATTAGAGGAAAGGGGAGTAGAGGACAAAGGGAAAGGGAACATGTTCCTGAAAACTGTATGCAGTTACCTTCATTCTTATGTTCATATGTTCTAAACCAACATCATCACAAACAAGAAGACACAGATTCAAGCTAAGGAAACAAAGTTGCCAAAAAAAAATTAGAAAGTTTTCTTTTGCAAACAGTGGTAGACAGTTGGAACAAGCTAAGTGAGAAGGTGGTGGAGGCCAAAACCATCAGTAGTTTCAAAGCATTATATGACAAAGAGTACTGGGAAGACGGGACAGCACGAGCGTAGCTCTCATCCTGTAACTACACTTAGGTAATTACACACATATACATACATGCATACATACATACACAAACACATCTGAAGAGAGATATTATAATAAAAGGCAGACAGTATGGTTTTCGAACAAGATCCTGTGTAACAAATCCAGATAGTTTTTATGATTAGAGCAACATAGATTTTGCAGGAAAGCAGTGGCTAAGTTGATTGCATATATCTAGACCTTAAAAAAAGGCTTTTGACAGAATCCCATATAAGAGGTTGTTCTGGAAACTGGAACATCCTGGAGGAATGACAGGAAGACTTCTATCATCGATGAAAAAATTTCTAACAGAAAAATGAGGGCAGTAATAGACTGGAGGCAATGTATCAGACTGGAGAAATGTTGCTAGTGGACGACCCCAGAGTTCAATTCTAGCACCAGTAATGTTCATTGTCTATATAAACAATCTACTAGAAGGAATACAGAATTATATGAACATGTTTCATGATGATGCCAAGCTACTAAGGAAGATACGAAACTTTGATGGTTGTCATGTCCTTCTAGAAGACCTGGACAAAATAAATGTATGGAGCCATACTTGGCAAATAGAATTTAATGTGAATAAATAGCATGTTAAGGTATGTGGAATAGGAAAAATAAGCCACACACATTAGATTACAAGTTATGTGAAAATTATGATACAAATTATGTGAAAAAGCTTTCAAGAATTATGATAGAGGTCTAGGGGTGGCTCTTGATAAAAAACTGCTGAAGGTTTTGGCCTCTACCACCTTCTCACTTAGTTTGTTCCAACTGTACCACTCTGTTTTCGAAAGTGAATTTTCTTATATTTCTTCGGCAGCTTTGTTTACTTAGTCGGTCCAAATTGTTTTCAAAAGGCTTTGTCTATGTTGGCTTTGGCCTCTGAGGGTCAGGTTGGTGAGCTTTCATGCTCTCTTCCAATCCAGCGGTTTCTGCTCTTTCGGTCCTGGTGGACGTTTTGTTCATTTGCAGGCATCTCCTCCTTTTCTGGCAAAGAATGAGATGGCAGGCTTCTGGAGGGGTCCGTGGGTTATTGATGCTTGGTTGGTCAGGCCGGAGGTGCATCATGTTTTGTGTCCAGTTGCGACTTTCTGCTGTTACCTGTGCGCCTCTGGTTCTGTGTTCAGGGAAGCACGTTGGGTTGATCCAATATTCCTCGTTTCCTGTTTCAGGGCTCGGGTCTCTCAGGTTGTCCATAGGGTTATTAAAAAAAAATCTAGCCAGCCTGCGGTTTACCCTCATGCCCATGATTGGAAGTTTGCAGCTCTCATTGCTGTTTTTGGCAACATGTCTTGGGTTGACATTCGGGCACGGGGGTTTTGGAGGTCGAACAGGGTCCTGGCCGCCTGTTACCTCGTGAACGTTCTGGGCCCTCAGGGGTCTTGTGTGGGCTTGGGCCGTTGGTTGCAGCCAGTTGTCCCATCCTCGTCATGAGGCACGCAGTGCTGCGGCCTCCTGGGGTAAGTCCCTATTTTACTTATCTTTGGGTATCTAGCTCCAGGGAGCCAACAGGGCTCCCCACAGAAAACCAGCTTTGAATGTAATGAAAAGGGTGCCTGGCTCCGTGGCACCCTCCCTCCCCTATGGTTGGCAGTTTTTGTTTCCGCTTGATCAGTCTCCGAACTGGCAGTCTAGCGGCTGGCTGGGTGGGGCGGTCCCCCCTCCCCCCTCCTCGGATGGGGGTGGAGGCACGAACAAGCAGCGCATCTAGCTGTTGTTGATTTGTTTGTTGCCTTGTTTTTCTTAGGGGAGTTCTTGAGCTCTGTTCAGTTTTGGGTTGCAATTTTCTACCAGTTGGGGGTCTGTTTTGGGGCACCTACCTTTCTGGGTGCATAACCCTGGTGTATGGCAAACAGGAATATACTCTCAAAGAGTGGCGTTTTCATAGGCCATTGCTCCCTTCGCCTCTCTAAGGGAACCAGGTTCTGGCTCATGGTTCCTGGTAGGCAGAAGTCCATGTGACTGAAGTCCCAGATTAATATAGCTAATATCAGTCCAATAGCTCCAGAGAGCCTCCAGGGCTCATCCAGAAAATGGCATTTCATTACATTCAATGCTGGTTTTGTAGTGCAGACAAATGCCTTCAACCAGTTCATTGAGTTAACAATTTCTTGTGAATCGAACATTTTTTCCCCTGGTTTCTCCATTAATGAATTTTGTGACGTTTCATCCCATGAAGCGAGATAATGTACTTTAAGCCTTAATTTATTTTCAGAGAGATAATTTACCATTAAACTACTTGTTTGTAACAGTAACAATTTTTTTATTCTTTCAGAATTTCAAGTTCGAAGAAATCTATATCAAGATGACAAATTAATTATCAGTGCATGATGTTCCTTAAGAACATCATTTCAATCTTACAGCAGCTGTTGATCCATGTGCCTCTTCATTTGGATTAAAAGTTCATAAGCATGGATCAGACACAAGAAATAATGCATTCCTTGTTTTCGCTCGATCCTAATATGGAAAACAGAGGTCATCTGTATCCATACAATTATCCATATGGACAGTATCCTTACCCATACCCCTATCCATACCCTCCTCCTCATCCATCATCAGCCCATGCAAACATTCCTCCCACATCACATGGTATGCCTCCACCATCCTGCCATCCTATAACCCAGGCTTCTCAGAGTCTCGCAGCATCACAGAATAACCTCTCACCATATAGTGGTGGAGTCCATAGTATCCGTCCACCAATGACTAACATGCGAGAACAAATAGGAGATGGCAGGCTCCCATTAGAAAGCAGAATACCTCATCTGAGTGATATTGACAGGCACACAATGAATACACAGCATATGGCAGAAGATCTGCGTAGTGTACCTGTAGATTCCAGAAATCTTGGGGATGTTAGACATCATCCAGTTGACATGAGACCAATGTCTGCAGAACAACGGTATTTAGGTGATTTAAGATCATTTTCAAGTCACCCACGCTCATCCTCCACAGATTTACGTCATGTTACTGATTACTCTTCTCAGCCAACAGATTTACGAACACAACCAATTGATGCTAGAATGTTTAGTGATGTACGTCAACTTGCTGGCGATACAAGGCCACCACTAAATGAAACGAGGCTTATGGGGGATCCTAGGCATTCTTCAGGTGAAATAGGGAATCGGCTCCAAGGAGACCCAAGGGTTCTAATAAGTACATCTGCAGGTGACTTCAGATATGAAGGAGACTTGAGAACATACGATAATCGTCCTTCTAGTGTTGCTCAACCTACCGAAGAGTTGCAACTCTTATCTGGTGATCCAAGGCCTCCAATAAGTAATGTAAGGTCCATGGATGAGACAAAGTCTCTTTATGATTCTTCAAGAATGAGTACAAATGAAATTAGGCTTCCATTACATCAGTTTGATACAACTAATCTTTTGAAATCATCTGAAAATCAGCATTATTATGATAATAGAAGTAGTTTAGAAATTAACAAGCCATCAGTCAATGGTGAAGATCTTTCTACAAAACATTCAGCTGAGGACATGGGACAAATGCTCACCGATTCAAGAGTCACTTCAGGAAATAACAGTAATTCTGTCCAAGATATGCATCAAAATATGAATGACCCAAAAATACAGCTTGGTTCATCAGGGCAAAGTGCCGATGAAGTTAACCAAGGAACTCTGAGATACCCAACAATCAGTAGTCCAAACACTTCTTTAGGGTTGTTGTCCCATGCCTTAGGACAGCATTTAAAAGAAGATGAGAATGAGGATAATACAGATCTTATGCAAAACGAACCTCTTAATATGGACAACAAAAGTTATCATCACATGGATGAATCTAACGGAGATAAAAATAAAGCAGACATAAATGGTGAATATGAAGACAAACATGAAAAATCAGAAATTACTCAGGATATTGATGAAGATGACTTTGACTCTGAAGCTTCTTCTACAGAATACTCTAACCCTTATATAGAATTTAATGATGTAGCACATGGAGTATTCAATAATGTTAACAATATTGCTGGCCCAGTTAAACCTTTTCACTGTGAAGACTGTGATGCCACTTTCACCACTAAAGGAAACCTTAAAGTACATAAGAGAATACATACTGGAGAAAGGCCATACGAATGTGAGGAATGTGGTAAAACTTTTTCATATTGTGCATCATATCAATCTCACAAGTTAATACATAGTGGTCACAGACCATATAAATGCGAGTTTTGTGATAGGGCATTTTTCCGTAGTGAACATTTAGAACGTCATAGAAGAAGGCATACAGGTGAAAGACCATTTAAGTGTACAGAATGTGATGCTACTTTTGCTGCTAGTGATGGATTGTCAAGGCACACAAGAACTCATACTGGTGAAAGACCTTATAGCTGTGGGGAATGTGGAATGTCATTTGCTTATAAATCTACTTACCTTAGACATAAAATGATGCATTCTGAGGGGGAATACAAATGTGAAGACTGTGGTGCTGCATTTAAAGACCCTGTTAGGTTAGATAAACATATTAAAAAGCACAACGACCCAAACTATATCCCATATTCTGATGAAGGTAAACCTAAACCTCATAAACTCATAGAAGATGGTGTAGAAGTTACAGGATGCGAGTTCTGTCAGATGAAATTTAAAAGAAAATCAGATTATTATCTTCACCGGAGAACACACACTGGAGAAAAGCCATATGTGTGTGATGTATGTGGATCATCATTCATCAGAAGAGCATACCTGGACATTCATATGCGTACTCATACTGGTGAACGCCCATATAATTGTGAATCTTGCGAATCTGCATTTAAAACTCGCACAGCCCTAAAGTTTCATAGACGTACTCACAGTGGTGAAAGGCCTTACAAATGTGAACACTGTGATTTTGCCTTTGCCCAGAAATCTGCAATGAAAGCGCACACACGTATTCATACTGGTGACAAACCATATAAATGTGACTCGTGTGAAGCTGCTTTTCGCCATAGTAGTAGTTTAACTATTCATAAACGAACTCACACTGGAGAAAGACCGTATGTTTGTGATGTTTGTGGAGCAACGTTTGCCCAAAGACCTCACCTCAATCTACACAAAAGAGCTCATTCAGGTATTAAGCCACATACTTGTGATGAGTGTAATGCATCTTTCACAAAAAAGGATTACCTCTTGGCTCACAAAACAAAACATGCAGGTGGAAGTACAATCAAGATTGAAGCTTTAGTAGAAGCTGCAGGTGAACAGGTATACAAATGTACTGACTGTGAGATGGTATTTACTCACCATTCCAGCCTAACAGTGCATATGAGAAAGCATACCGGTGAGCGACCATTTGTGTGTGAAGACTGTGGTGCATCATTTTTGTATAGCTCTAACCTAACAACTCATCGCAGAAAACACACTGGTGAAAGACCTTATAAGTGTGATCAGTGTGAAGCCTCTTTTATTTTAAAAAGCTATTTAACCATGCATCTTAGGAAACACTCTGGTGAAAGACCATTTAAATGTGATGAATGCCAAGCTTGTTTTACACAAAAAACACACTTGTCAACCCATAGAAGGATTCACACTGGAGAATGCCCATACAAATGTGAAGAGTGTGGAGAGGCCTTCCGTGATGGTGCAAATTTTTGGAGACACAAGAAGAAACATTTAATTGGTGAAGGAGCTGCAACAGTAACACGTAGAAGAGGAAGAAGAGGGCGAGGAAGAGGTGGCACTAAAGGAGCCAGAACTGCTCCAACCAGGCGAACAACACGTATTCGTCGTGCCACAGTAAAGTTTGAAGACCTATATGAGCAATTTATTGTTAACCAACCAGATGACCGAGTATTTGTTAAAGAAGAGCCTAATGATCAATCAAATAAAGATGAAGATGATGAGGAGGATAGACCTTATATACCAATTAACCCGATGGTAGAAATAAAGTTGGAAGGAGAAGATGAGCATCAACAACTTTTAGATAAAGGAACAGAGTCAAAAGATCAAGTGGAAGATCAACTGGCCACAATCAGTGAAGATGCTGCTGTTGAAGACCAGCTTCCAGGAAATGATGATGATGAGAACGATAAAGAGAACGTGGAAAAAAGGCCGGTGCATATGTCTGACAGGTCACATGTGAATGATGATACAATAGATAATGTGTCAAAATAAATGAGTATTTTTGTTTTAAAATTATAATGTACAAGTCTAATGAACACAAGGTTGCCAAGTACAGTATAGGGAAGTTGTTAGTGGTGAAACTCGTCATTAAAATTATATATATTTATTTAATTTTTTACTTAATGATATATTGATATGGATCTCATTTTGGGTGTATCTTGTTTTATAAGTAATAGAATATTATTATTTATTATCAAAGTTATGGAATATATTATCTGAAGTAGTTTGTATCCTTGTGATGTTATGAGAAAAGATTTTATGTGATGTATTTTCCAGTGATTGCTGTAGTGTGTGTAGTGTTACAAGCCTGGTCTTGTCCTGGCTCTATTTCTATTTATAGAAAGATGATGTGGAAGTATTTACCCTTTGAGGATTCAAGGTTTTCCTTTTATCATTGCCAATTAAGTACTTTTTTGTGATAATGTAAATTGGAATCATGTTTATATTCAGACACATATATATTTATGTATATATTTTGTTTATTATATGATATTTAAATTTAATATTTTATCTTGGAATTATTTGTTATATAAACTTTTAAGTCTAAACACAGGGAAATGTTAGTAATGTAATTTCCTTCCTTTACATTTGTTTCGTGAACAATTACTAGTCAGAATAGGCATGAAGTCAATATATTTTGATGTTAAGACAAGGTAATTTGTTTGTGTGTCTGGTGTTTACAGTAGGTTTGGCTGTAAATAGCAAATGTTTAGAAATTTCTTATGTTTGGGATACACTAGATATTTAATTATATTTACAGTGATTTGTGAGATGTGAAGAAAAAAAAAAAGAGAGAATAAATTTTGAACCATGGCAGGGTCTTTACTTGACTCATTACTGCTGACATTACACTGGATGTTGTGAATGTTTACACTTCTTATCTCTCCTGCTAGTATCTCCATGACTGGTGCCTTGACAGAGTAAGGGAGGCTACATTGTTTTAATGAACCAATGTTCATTAAACAGTTAAGTGTTTGTTTCATGACTGCATGTTTACAAGCCCCACTTGTTGCATGGACTTTGTTTTAATTCACCTCGAGCTGCATGTGTTTAGGGCTGCTCTTCCCTAGGCACTTTTTTTTTGGTGTGTTGCCCCTGCTCTGATAATGTGACTTCTTAGGTGAGTTGAGGAGTTCATCCCCAAGAGGCCTTGCTACTGTGCAGAGTGCCTCACCTTGGTAGTGCAAGGATCTTGGACTCCAATGGAAGGCCTCTGTGTCTAGTGGTATTTGGGGTTTACCATACAGCAAAGTGCTGAAAGAAGGACCTAGTAGTTAGATCCAACAGTCATTGTAAAATTGCAAAAGAAGTGGGAGGTGAAGTAAAACTGCCAACCAGACCTTAGGAATATTCAAACGAACTAGTGACTTTAAGGAAAAGAAAGTGGATATTCAGTGCTGTGTGTCTGATGTGTCCCCATGTGGAATACTGTATCAAATTTTGGAGACATCACCTTCAAAAGGACATACAGTGATGTCTGATCTGCTTTGTTCAACAGCAACAAAAATCATCCCAAAACTACAACTCTCATATGAGGAATGGCTACGAGCCACAGGACTAAAAACACTGCACTGCACTAAAAATTGATAAAACAATGGTTAAAACAAAGAAAGCAAATGTTTGTCTTAAATGGAAAGGGAGCCCTCTCTCCCTCTTTTTTTTTTTTTTTTTTAACTAAGATTAGGGTTCATTAGGGTTATTAATTGAGGTACTCTACCTAGTGAAACTGCAAGCAAGAGTCTTTACCTACCTTAGCTCATCTGAGGCCTCTCTCCTAGAGACTCATTCATTTTTAGATTATTAATAGAATCATTAGGAATAAACTTTATTTAAATCTAAGGAACAATCATACAAGGAACGTGATTTATTGACTTGATCTCATGTGTATCAACCTGTTGAGTGAACAGGTTCCAGATGTGAGTCAGCCTAGGAATGAATGATTGCTGATAGAGATGTTCTTGAGAAAGGCAGTTCCAGCATATGAGACTGTTGATGACTAAGCGCCTTGTGATATGGGTGCCAACTACTGGCTGTCTTTGAAGTTGGGCCAGATGTTGAACTTTAAGAATGTTGACCTTGTACATAACACTACATCCACCAATATCTCAATGGTGTTGTCGGGTCAGATGTTCAGACTTGTCCAACCAGACTTAGTCAGAACTAGAGATGAGCCATCTTCCATGGTTCTTTACTTTGTCCAAAATTCTGATGAATTATGGAGGGTAGACAATCCACGAGAGGGTTGCATACTCGAGATGGGAGTGAACTTGTGCTTCATATAAGGCTTTGTGCCCCCTATTGTCAAGAAGGTATGAGATGCACCATAAGCCTCTAAGGTTCCATGCTACCTTGTGGGAATGTGTCTCTTTGTCATTGAAGAGTCGAACTTCATTCCCAAAATATCAGTTTCGTCTGTTAACTCTAGGTTTTTGCTACCCATTTGCAATTTGTAGTCTATTTATCATTGCCTGTGTGTTTTCAGCTACAGTTGTGACCTGCCATCTCCTCTCCCAGGTAGAAATCACTGAAAGTTTGTGATTGATGAGTCTTGTAGCAGTTGACATTTCTTCGTTACTGTATGTGAAGGTTAGAGTGCAGTCATCAGCATAGGTTTGAGCTTTAAGAATGAGATAAAGTAGGTTGTTAAAATAGACATTCCACAACAGAGGGCCAAGCACACTATCCTGTGGTATGCTGGCACCAATTGAGTGGCTTTCAGATTCTGCTCCAGTGAGGACTACTCTTAGAGTTTGTTCTAGAAGGTAGTCTTTTATTAGCTCTAAGATGGAGCCTGAGATGCCTAGTGCTTGAAGCTGTAACGTACGATTATGTTACGTAGTTAGGTAGATTAGATACACAGTGTTTAGTGAGTTTCATATTTATTTAGTAGTTCTGGATACAGCAGTGTAGTAGACGTTGAGATGGAGCTTGGAGCAGAACAGAGAGCTGAGTGTGACCGGAGTCGCGGAGCTCAATGTGGGAGAGCGTTGTAGCTCGATGTGGTCCTAGTCTGCTGCCTGTTCTGTGTCGAAGCTGTAGCGTCTTGGGGTCGATGAGAACTGCCTACGCCGAGTGCTACATTATTGACTGGAAATTGTACTGTCGGCTATTCGCAATTCGCTTGATTATATTCGGTGACTACACCTCAGCTTCTTCCACTAGGAGAGGTGGATAGAAGAACTGTTACCTGTAAATAGGGATAAGATTGTAGTTAGTGCTAATTAGTTATGCCATTAAGATAATGAGGTAATGGAGCGAGCCTAAGGTTTACTCGCAACAAAGCTACACTACTAATCCAGTGTCTCTCTCTCTCCCTCTCTCCCTCCTTCCCTGGTGCGCCCCCACCTAGATTATTGAATCCAGGCATGGAGATCTCATCTTCAGAAAGACATAGCTGCTCTGGAGAAGGTGCAACACCGGGCAACAAAAATCATTCCACAGCTAAGTCAACTCAAGTATCAATAAGGATTGAGGGCCTCATGGCTAACAACACTGCAAACCTGGAATGACAGAGCGGATCTCATTGAAACTTTTAAAATACTGAACATTTTGAAGGATGTTACTCTAGACAACTTCTAATGGTCAGATGTATCATGTATCCTGCCCGAAACGCTGCGCGTACTAGTGGCTTTACAAGACTGTAAATACTATGCTATGTATTCTCTCTAACCCAATGTACCTTCTTGTATATAAATAAATAAATATCACTAACAAGGAGCAACGGTTTCAAGCTCAACAAGGCATAATGCAGGACTGAAAACAGATGCTTTTCCACCCACAGGGTTATAAACCCATGGAATCGTCTACCCGCCGAAGTAGTAAATTACAAGACAATACTTCAGTTTAAAGTCTGGAAAAATCATTGAGAACATTGGAGGTGGAGAGGGGCCTTTGACAAGGCGCTTTGTCTCCCCCCCCCCCAAATCGAGGCTAGTAGAGAGTGGTTCTCAGGTAAATTATTTTTTTGTATTTATCCTTACAAGAGTTCTTACATTCTTGTAAAACCACTAACACGCATAGCGTTTCGGGCAGGTCCTTAATCTTAATTTCCCCTGGAATACGACCCGCGGTGAATAGAGGCGTAGGATTGGCTGGAAAAAAATACCAAGACCCTCTAGGTATATTAGCAAGAATGTAAAACTCGTATCAGTGTTATTTGGTAATTTTTCGTCGTTGTTTTAAATAAATTAATTTAATTAATATCTTGTAAATAAATAGAAACTCTCGTGTGAAGTGGTAAACAATGGACTTTCGCTTGACGCCATGGTGGGAGTAGGTGGGTGGTGTTTACCACAGTCAGCTGATGGCGGAGGGACAAGCAACATGTCAGTATTTGAGAAGAAGAAAGACAACAGGCTGCTGATGGACGACACAAAGCCACTAGTATGTAATATTACAGACGCCCAGAACACAGACGGACACGTTGTGAGTATTATATAATACATTAATGCAACTACATGTAATAACGCAATTTTGGAAGTGTAAACTCTTTGGTATGTTAATCTTCTTGTTTGAGAAGCTGTTTACTTGTTTACTTGAGACAGTTGAACAAGTCCCAGCTGTGTCTGAGTACACGTGACAGGATGAACAACGTGGCGGGTTTTCTTCCTATTGGGGAGTGTTGTACATGCTGCTATGGCGGTGTGTCCACTCACAGGATGAGTTGGCGCTGCCCAATACTGTCACTATGGAGGTGTGTCTGCTCACAGGATGAGTGGCGCTGCTCTATATTGTCAATATGGCAGTGTGTCCACTCACAGGATGAGTGGCGCTGCCCTATATTGTCAATATGGCAGTGTGTCCACTCACAGGATGAGTGGCACTGCCCAATACTGTCACTATGGCGGTGTGTCCACTGACAGGATAAATGGCGCTGCCCAATACTGTCACTATGGCGGTGTGTCCACTCACAGGATGAGTGGCACTGCCCAATACTGTCACTATGGTGGTGTGTCCACTCACAGGATGAGTGGCACTGCCCAATACTGTCACTATGACGTTGTGTCCACTGACAGGATAAATGGCGCTGCCCAATACTGTCACTATGGCGGTGTGTCCACTCACAGGATGAGTGGCACTGCCCAATACTGTCACTATGGTGGTGTGTCCACTCACAGGATGAGTGACAATGCCCAATACTGTCACTATGGTCGTGTGTCCACTCACAGGATGAGTGGTGCTGCCCAATACTGTCACTATGGTGGTGTGTCCACTGACAGGATGAGTGCCGCTGCCCAATACTGTCACTATGGCAGTGTGTCCACTCACAGGATGAGTGGCGCTGCCCAATACTGTCACTATGGTGGTGTGTCCACTCACAGGATGAGTGGCGCTGCCCAATACTGCCACTATGGCGGTGTGTCCACTCACAGGATGAGTGGCGCTGCCCAATACTGTCACTATGGTGGTGTGTCCACTCACAGGATGAGTGGCGCTGCCCAATACTGTCACTATGGCGGTGTGTCCACTCGCAGGATGAGTGGCGCTGCCCAATACTGTCACTATGGTGGTGTGTCCACTCACAGGAGGACTGGTGCTGCTCAGTACTGTCACTATGGTGATGTATCCACTCACAGGAGGAGTGGCGCTGCCCATTAAACTCGCTCCTCGGGGCAAAATTAACAAAATTTGGTATGAGAAAATTGTAAACCCTTAGCACAAGAATGCCTACAATTTACTTATGTGCTCGATGAAGGCTGCTGTTTAATACAGAGGTATGAGAATGGCAGCTGTTTGAACACACATTTGTTAATGACAGCAGATGGATATTTAGATGTCATGAATAAAGCAAATGCCAGATACAAATGTTCCGAACCTTATTGGAATCTAACCCAAGTGTCAGTTGGGTCAACCCATGTATCAGATTCAAAAAATGTGCAACCATGTTGGAACAGACGAACACCCAAAGGAAGCTTTTGAAAACATCTTGATAACTTGATTAACAAAAGGTATTTATGTCAGAAGAAAGACGGAAACATAATCTCCATGTAAAACATTTTAACACTTTAGTGCGCGCGGCACTCGTGAAAAAAAAAGCCCCTTGTGCGCGCGGCGTTCTGGGCGCTCAAGCGTAAACACAAAAAAGTTTATAATCTTTTCACGCTCCTAACATCAATTCTCGAGCTACGTTTTTCATTTTGGTATCAATGCGTTGGCAATAAAATTCTCTACAAGATCATATGCATAAAATGTCACCCAAAGCATTTGCTATCCCACCACGAAGTAAATAAACACGAAGATGACTCGCCGTGACACCCAAACAGGAAGTAAATGTTCATACTCTTTCGTTTGTTGCCAGCCTCACAGTCATCCTACAGCGCTTATTTTGATATCACTGAACTCGCAATAAAATTCCCCACCCAGACATATGCCTATCAATGTCTAATTATGTTCCGCACGAGTGTGGGAAGTGGGCGAAGCGTTAGCCGTGATTTCAGCAGCGACGACACTGTTGTGATGCAGCGCTTTGAAAGTTTATACTTATTTTACTGTCCTGACATTATTTCTCGAGCTACATATTTCATTTTTATAGCAATGTGTTCGCAATAGAAAGTTTTATATATAACAATAGAAAGTTCTATAAGAACATGAGTAGAATTGGCCAACAGAGCGTCAAATAAATTTGCGGCGAATAAAATCTTACGCGTGTTTGTACCCGTGAGCGTAAAAAGTTTTTACTTTGCTCATGTTTTTTCAAGTTTATACTTGTTTCACACCGTTTTTTTTGTTTGTATAGTGTTCGGAATAAAATTCTCTACACAGACATATGCATATAAATGTAGAATCATGATCGCGGCCAACACAAGAGTGTGTGGAGTGGGCGATTACCCTCGTTGTGTCACCAACTCAATAGTCTCTCCTCTAAGTTACAATACATTGCCGTTTTCTCAAATAGGCACTGTGCCTATTAGAGAAAACAAAAATTTAATGGCAAACATATTCATACAAACCCCAAGTCGATCGAGTAGTAAATACCCACTATAACATGGTCCGTAAATTTACGTCGTGATCCGACAAGCGGTTAAGCAAAACGCCCGTAATTCCAAGTGGAAAATCCAGGAAAGTGTTAAACATCAGTTTTAAATCGAGTTTTCATAGCAACTCTCTCGAATCTATTGGAGATTCAAGTAGCTACCATAAGCCTCATAGCATTACGTTTGGATCATCAACAAGCAGGTCAACTTCCTGTGAATTCACCTGCCACCTATTTGTCTAATTTTGTTATAAAATGAGTATTTCCTTGTAAAAATATGCATTTTTACATTCATTCAGCAAGAACATTATAGTGGGCAAATAAGCCATATTTCTTCATTATTTATGTAATGATATGAGGCTTAGGGTAGTTTTTCGAATCTCCAATAGATAGGGCGAGAGTCGCTATGAAAACTTAATTTATAACTGATATCTTTTTTCTCCGATAAGATACATTTCCCTTTATGCACTTAAATAATAATTATATCTCAATCTTTTTGAAGGCATATAATATTTTAGGCTTCATTAGCATAGCTGTTAATTACACAATATATTGGCCAGCACGTAGGCTTCTGCACTCCATGACTGACAAGGTACTGGATGCGATTATTAAAACACATGTATCTTCACTTGAGCTTTAATAGCTGAGCAGTTCAGGGGTTAGATATGCCCATGGTAAGGAGTTTAAAATGAAGCTTATATTTTTAAAATTCTATCAACATATAAAACGCTTGCATTTAGTAAAGTATTTACGTGAAATAAGCATTGTTCCGAGATGAATAATGCAGGTTCTGAGCTCGACGAGCGATGAAAAATGTAACTTTTATACAACTATGTATATCTTTAGTTATACTTAAAATATATTTTTCTGGTAGTGGTTTTACATAGAGATTGTTTAGTTGCACATGGTTGCACATTTTTGGAATCCGATACATGGGTTGACCCAACTGAAACTTTGGTCAGATTCCAATATGATGTAACACAAATGTTCAAATTCCGCCCCTAATGTAATGTGCTGTATGTATTGCAATAATAATAATAATAATAATAATAATAATAATAATAATAATAATAATGAGAAACTAAATAGGAGCCATGGGGGGATTCAAACCTGCAGCTTAGGTACTTCCAAGCATTTGAAGGGAGTGTTGTTGGAAGGAACTCCTATACCACACCAGAGCACATGTGGGTAATGTATAAAAGCTTGATTTGATATCTGCTCGATACCTTAGGATCCCTTAGTGGATTCAGTTGAATACCATAGTGGATTCGGTTGAATACCAAGCCACAGTACTTGTAGCGTCTCATGGTACGCTGGTTTAAGGCATGTGCTTGGGAGTACTTACACAATGAAAGGTGGTGAGAGTGAGAGGAGAGACAGGGGGGGAGAGGAAAGAGGGGAGGGGGGGGAAGAGTGAAAGGGGGCCGGGAAAGAGATGGGTGAGAGATCAGGTGGGAAGAATGGTGGAAGGGTAGGAGATGGGGAGGATGGGGGCATGAACAGAGGGAGAATGTTGGGGGGATAGAGTGGGAGATATAAGTGAGGATAGGGAGAGAGAAACCTCTGGCACAGCTGATACCCTATATTTATAAACGAATGTGATTAAACTTGATTTTAGTACTAGTATATACTGTCATGAATTAGTCTGTGTTAATGATAAATGAATGTATTAATTGTACAGTATTCTCAATTAATAAAATACACAATATAGTCTGAAAAAGTTTTTATTTTCTCGTAGGAATACTGTGTGGAGGTTTGGCGTACTCCTGACACAGAGACCAAATGGACTGTGAGCCACCGATATTCAGACTTTGCACAGCTTCATGCAGCCCTCAAAGTTGGATCTGTTGTCCTGCCCCAACTTCCTCCTAAGAAAGTGTTTGGAAACACTGACAGAGATTTTATTAATGAGAGGAAAGCAGCTTTACAGGTAAGGGAGGGATTGTTTCCTACATTGAATTGCTTCTTCTCCTTTGTCTATTTATTCTCGGAGAGCTCCATCCATGATGGGTCGACCTCATGTTATTAGCTTACATAAAACTTCACTTTCCTTCAAGTATTAAAGGTGGCTAGAAGTGCTCTTGTTAATATTTCAGTATATAGTTAAAGAATGTGCTGTCACAAGACTTTATACAGGCATACCTCAGTTTACGAGTTTAATTGGTTCCTGGAGACGCCTCGTATTCCGAAAACTCGCATTCCGAAGCTAATTTCCCCATAAGAAATACCTGTAAAGGGAAATGAATTAATCCGTTCCTGACTACCCCAAAAACCCCACATCAAACTAAATTTTTATACCTAATTTACCTAATTCATCTAAATAAACCTACAAAACTATGTTCCAGTTATTACTTACCTTGCTGTCGAGTGCTGTAGGCGTATGGAAGATGGTGAGGAGGGGGGAGGAGGAGAGGAGTTACTGTTTGGAAGGGGAGTCCCCTTCCATAATCACATCAGGCAGTGAGGACCTTTCTGGTGTGCTCTCCCTGGGACGTTTTATCTGAGTGCCACTAGGTCCTGGTTGAGGCTCACTGCTCGATTTCCTCACCACAAATCTGTCCATGGAAGCTTGCTTTTCCCTTCTTCGCAAGCTCTCTCTGTAGTAAGGCATCACATTGTCATTGAAAAGATTAAGACAACGGCTTACTACATCTTTCTCTGGGTGAGTCTGTTCAACAGTTGTTTGAATCTCTTCCCACATCTGACACACCTTAATTACTGCAGAAGGGACATTCGCTGGTGCTGCTGCCACCTCCTCCTCCACTGCAGAATCATTCGCTGCTGCGTTGGCTTGCTGTTCCTGTTGAAGGGCTAGGAGTTCTTCGGTGGTCAGTTCTTCGTTGTGTTCTTCCACCAACTCCTCCACATCATCACCATCCAATTCCAAGCCCATTTGCTGGCCTAGACTAACAATTTCCTCAACAATAGGCGCATCATTTATAGGCTCAAACCCCTCAAAGTCTAGTTCTCTCACACATTCAGGCCACAATTTTCTCCAGCCAGAGATCAGGGTTCTTTGAGTCACTTCTTGCCAGGCTTTGTCAACGAGTTTTAAAGCACTACAAATGTTAAAATGCTCTCCCCAGAACTCTTTGAGGGTGAGGTTTGTGGCTTCAGTCACTTCAAAACATTTCCGGAAAAGTGCCCTTTCATAAAGTTTCTTAAAATTCGCTATGATTTTCTGGTCCATAGGCTGAATTAGAGGAGTGGTGTTAGGAGGAAGGAATTTAACTGTGAGGAATTTATTGTATCTAGGCAACAAATCATCTTCCAAGCCTGGAGGATGAGCAGGAGCATTGTCAAGGAGAAGCACGGCTTTGAGTGGCAATTGTTTCTCCTGCAGATATTTTTCTATGGCAGGGCACAGCACTTCATTCACCCACTCCGAAAAAATAAGCCTAGTCACCCATGCTTTTTTATTAGACTTCCACATCACACACAAATGGGTTTTCTGCACTTTATACTGTTTGAAAACCCTTGGATTTTCAGAATGATACACTAGCAAGGGTTTAATTTTCAAATCGCCACTCGCATTTGAACACAGCACAAGCGTAAACCTATCTTTCATAGGCTTGTGTCCAGGCAAGGATTTTTCCTCCTTGGTAATGTATGTCCTCTTAGGCATTCTTTTCCAAAACAGTCCTGTTTCGTCACAATTAAACACTTGTTGCGGTAGGTATCCCTCAGCCTCTGCAAACTCTTTAAATTCGTCAATAAATCGTCCAGCGGCTGGTTTGTCTGAGCTGGCTGCCTCCCCATGCCTTGTAACACTATGGATACCACTTCTCTTTCTAAATTTTTCAAACCAGCCCCTGCTTGCCTTAAACTCTTTCGTATCTGCATCACTCGTTGCAGGGGTATTCTTTAGAAGGTCTTCGTGCAACACCCTGGCTTTCTCACAAATACTGGCCTCCGAAACACTATCACCCCTCAACTCCTTGTCGTGTATCCAAATTAATAACAACTTTTCCACTTCTTCAAGTATTTGTGGTCTTTGTGCCGTTAATGTTCTTACTCCTTTTGCCACTTTAGCACCCATAATCTCATTTTTCTTCTTAAGTATAGTGCATATTGTTGATGTGGCTTTGTTGTACTGCCTACAAAGTTCAACAACACGTGTACCGTTCTCATGCTTCCGAATGATCTCTTGTTTCTCCTCTATTGTCATCCTCACATGAGCTTTCTGGCCTTTATCCTTACCACTGGCTTTCTTGGGACCCATGGTGAGATATATAATAACAAATTGTATAGACAAATCACCAAAAATCCAACAAAACACTGAAAATCCGCGAGAAGAATTGATGTGGGGGTAGTCACTGAGCGCGAGACAATGGTAAACTGAGGGGCGGCGGGGTAGAGGGGCGACGATCGTTGAACCACCACGCGCTAGGTCGGCCTGTACGCGTATCAACAAACTCGCGTCCCGAGGTAACCCTCGCCTTCCGAGACAAATTTTTGGAGTAAATACTGCTCGTCTTCCGAAAAACTCGCATACAGGGACACTCACATTCCGAGGTACTTACCACTGTAAACTGTTAAGAGAAAGAACTGGAAAGTACAAAGGCAAATGTACAGAAGAGAAAAATAAAAAAATGGGAAATCTGTGTTACTCTGCAACACATTATATCTGGGAGGATATATTAACCATTGTGTTTTTCCTCTCCAACCTCTCATAAGAAAAGTTACAAAAAGAGTGCACACACACACACACACAATTCATAAACAACAAATTGCAGGTAAAGGATAATATCCAGAGGTTGAAAATGGGAAACAGATTCACGGAAAATGAAAAGGAAATGTGTGAAACATTAAATGAAAAGTTCCAAAGTGTGTTTGTACAAAATGAAATCTTCAGAGAACCAGACACAATAAGAATTCCAGAGAACAACATAGAGCGGATAGAGGTGTCTAGAGATGAAGTGGAAAATATGCTAAAGGAGCTCGGGAGGAACAAAGCAGCTGGCCCAGATGGCGTTTCACCATGGGTTCTGAGAGAATGTGCATCTGAGCTCAGCATTCCACTTCACCTGATCTTTCAGGCATCCCTGTGTACAGGAATCGTAGCAGACGTGTGGAAACAGGCTAACATAGTTCCAATCTACAAAAGTGGCAGCAGGGAAGACCCCCTCAATTATAGACCTGTATCATTGACAAGTGTAATAGTGAAAGTATTGGAAAAGCTAATCAAAACTAAATGGGTAGAACACCTGGAGAGAAATGATATAATATCAGACAGACAGTATGGTTTTCGATCAGGAAGATCCTGTGTATCGAATTTACTCAGTTTCTATGATCGGGCCACAGAGATATTACAGGAAAGAGATGGCTGGGTTGACTGCATCTATCTGGACCTAAAAAAGGCTTTCGACAGAGTTCCACATAAGAGGTTGTTCTGGAAACTGGAAAATATTGGAGGGGTGACAGGTAAGCTTCTATCATGGATGAAAAATTTTCTGACTGATAGAAAAATGAGGGCAGTAATCAGAGGCAATGTATCGGAATGGAGAAATATCACAAGTGGAGTACCACAGGGTTCAGTTCTTGCACCAGTGATGTTTATTGTGTACATAAATGATCTACCAGTTGGTATACAGAATTATATGAACATGTTTGCTGATGATGCTAAGATAATAGGAAGGATAAGAAATTTAGATGATTGTCATGCCCTTCAAGAAGACCTGGACAAAATAACTATATGGAGCACCACCTGGCAAATGGAATTTAATGTTAATAAATGTCATGTGATGGAATGTGGAACATACATATACAACCTATATATTATGTGAGGAAATCTTTAAAGAATTCTGATAAAGAAAGAGATCTAGGGGTGGTTCTAGATAGAAAACTATCACCTGAGGACCACATAAAGAATATTGTGCAAGGAGCCTATGCGATGCTTTCTAACTTCAGAATTGCGTTTAAATACATGGATGGCGATATACTAAAGAAATTGTTCATGACTTTTGTTAGGCCAAAGCTAGAATATGCAGTTGTTGTGTGGTGCCCATATCTTAAGAAGCACATCAACAAACTGGAAAAGGTGCAAAGACATGCTACGAAGTGGCTCCCAGAACTGAAGGGCAAGAGCTACCAGGAGAGGTTGGAAGCATTAAACATGCCAAAACTAGAAGACAGAAGAAAAAGAGGTGATATGATCACTACATACAAAATAGTAACAGGAATTGATAAAATCGACAGGGAAGATTTCCTGAGACCTGGCACTTCAAGAACAAGAGGTCATAGATTTAAACTAGCTAAACACAGATGCCGAAGAAATATAAGAAAATTCACCTTCGCAAATAGAGTGGTAGACGGTTGGAACAAGTTAAGTGAGAAAGTGGTGGAGGCCAAGACCGTCAGTAGTTTCAAAGCGTTATATGACAAAGAGTGCTGGGAAGACGGGACACCACGAGCATAGCTCTCATCCTGTAACTACACTTAGGTAATTACTTAGGTAATTACACACACACACACACACACACACACACACACATGTGTATGGAGGGTGTATGAGCTGGAGGAGGCAGGAGTCACACTGCAGCAAGCTCCTGGAAATATCAAATTACCTAAGTATTGGGCACAGGTTGAGGGCTACAGTGGTGTCCCAGGTTACATAAAGGTTCAGGGAAAAGTAAAAGCAAATAAAATACAATAAACAAGTAAAAGTGAGTGAAAATAGCCGAGTGGAAAAGTTTGTTTTGGTCTAGAACAAAAACAAAGATGGCCGTCGCCACCACCCCCACTGAGAATATAGACACACCAACAGATGATGGTTTCAAAGGATTCTCACCACAAGATATAAGGAAAGGTGTTCTTGGCAGGTTAGAGATAATTGAGGATATGCAAAAGAAGTATGAAGAAAAAGTGCTTAAATTGGAAGAGGACAATGGAGCTCTTTGGAGTGAGCTTTGCACTCTAAAAGGGAGTATG